TTCATTTGAATGTGCTTTACTGGAGGAATCCATGTTTGTCAAAGACCTGCCACCTACCAGTTTGTGGCGTTGTGGTGCGGTATCAGCTGTTGATCAAGTCCCAGTGCCGTATCTGGTAATTGTCACAAAGAGCTATTATCCAAGTCATCATGAAAACATTCTTCTTCGAAATTTTGGCTGCATATCACGTTTTTTTGTCTGGAAAGAAGTTCAATGGCAGGATCATGAATCAGAAAGGTGAAATAACAAAAAATTTTCACTTTTACCCAACGTTTACAACATCCAACTGCCATTCACGAGGGGCATTGTCATTTTAACTAAAGCTCTCGCAAATGGTGAAGTCCTCTCAAAATCTTATAAAATAATTATTGTTGATTGCATGGGTATTTAGTAGTTCCCATTGATTTTGCTTTTAAAGCGGGGAAATTGGCGCTAGTCTTAGCGCACCATGACGTCACTGCCAGAAGATGTCACCTTCCTCGCTCCAGATTAAGGTCCATGGGAGATCGGGCCTTCGCTGTCGCTGCCCCCCGTCTCTGGAACTCTCTCCCAGATCATCTGAGAGCTCCACAACCACTGAATGATTTTAAAAGAGGCTTGAAGACTTTTTTATTTAAGCAAGCCTATTCTGCCTCCACATGATTTTTATGATGTTGATTTTTATCTTTGATTTTATTTGCACTGTGTAGCACTTTGAGATTTTTATTAATGACCACATGATTTTTATGATGTTGATTTTTATCTTTGATTTTACTGGCACTGTGTAGCACTTTGAGATTTTTGCTAATGAAAAGTGCGGTACAAATTGGATTTATTATTATTATTATTATTATTGGAGTAAGGTGTTACTATATTTGGGCAAAAATGGCCATTCCTGGACTCAGTGATATCAATGAAAATTACCAATTTTTTTTATTACTGATTAACGCTAACTTCATTAAATCAAGCATATTAGTTTTAGGTATAGATAATGACCCATTGATCATTCCTTGGTGCCCGGACTTTTCCTTTATTATTCGCTGATACTGATTCATTAGCAAATTGGGAAAAATTATGTATAGTAGTTCTTAGAAATGTGGGATTTTTTTAAACTCCAGATACAGCATTATTCATATCAGTTTGGAAGTCAGGTTGGAATATATTACAAATGGATCTCTGAGTCCTACAGTAACTAACAGCTCACATGTCAAAATAAGAGATATATACTGTATTAAACTGCCTGTTTTCATAGTCGAATAGGGAGCAAACAAAATAAGGTGATGAAATAATGAAAATTTTTGCACTTGAAGCATCACTTTACCCCAGGGTTTTAGATACCACACTGAATGGTTCCAGTGACAAAATCTTTCGAGAACAGCAATGTGAGAGTCTTACATCATAGGGAATAAGGACCACAAAAGAATAAGCAGGTAAGCAGCAAAAGGAAGTAAATATACTCATTTAGTTTTATCTGCTCTGAGTTGATGTATGTCTTCATCAGGTTGCACAACAAAGGACTTTACAGGGATGAAGCAAAGTAAAGCCATTGTTCTGTGTAGCACACCCTGAGTATGGAACGTTGAGCAAAAATACATGCACGATTGAAGCAGAATACCTAGGAAAAAAAAGAATGGCAGATCAAACATGAATCTTAAAAAAAGAGAAATCTGATGCAATATCTGAATGAGTGTTTCCGCTGTGCGATCATTCAACACACACCATAAAATAACATCCGACCTTCACCACTGTAGTAAAGTTTCAGAAATACTCTAGGCCAGGTGATGTTGAAAAAGTGTCTAATAACACAATATTAAAGGATAGATAATTTTTTTGACTGATTATTCTATTAATAACCAAATAAATATTTGTGAATTGTTATTGAAAATGTATTATTATTAAACATGCATATGGAAAAACCTTTGGTCTACTTTGATGTAGGAAAGAGACAAAAAAGTGTCTTTTTACACTACGTGTGCAACCAGTGTGATTTCAGCTGTTCAGGTGTCTATGCAAATTATATTGTTGCATGTTAGCTACTTCATTGGACTTTGTCACTTTTTACACTGCCCCTTACTGGTTAAACTTAGAAAGTGCATAAAAATCTTAAACAGCCAATGAGAAAGGGGCTTTTGAGAATATATACCACTTGTTCAAAGGAGTATTATGAATATAGAAACTTTAAAGCATAAATGTTATAAGGAAGTTAGAATTTGTCATCTGCCCATTAGAGTGGATATCATATCTCACTAAATATATATACTGTTTGCTTCTGCAGTGAAAAGAATGAAATAAGATATTGTTGTTAGATAATAACTTACAGTTTGTCTTATTTTATTTTCTTTCCAGAATAATATTTCAGTCTCATCTCTTGAGCAGCATAAAATTCAAGGAACTTGAGGGGAAAAATATCAACAAAAATATAAAGGGCAAAAACTTACAATTAGTAAAGGAGATGGATCGATACTTTTTTCCACAGGTCATTTTACTCTTACTAAAGCAAAGAATTTGAGTTTGCAGATGATGTGAGCAACAGCGTCTGAGGAATTATGAGGAATAGAGGCATTCAAATTAGTTGACAGTTGAGCCAAAGGTGAAGAAGCTATAGATGCTGATAAGGTTGAGGATTAAAAAATGATATAGGACTATTGTATATAAAACATCATAAAAACTGTTGCACTGACAGATACTAAAGACATTGATATTATTGCGCTTACTGACCAGGCTCAGTCTCTTTTTTCTTTGTTTAGTGCCATTGACCATTTTGTTGTTGTTTTTTTAAATCATTTTAATTTTTAAGATATACAATACAACATGAGGATGAAGATAAGGTCTGATAAGCCATCTGTTGATAAGTAATTAAGGGACGGATGAGACAGGAGCTGAGAAGCTGACGGTTCCATTTTTATTCCAGTATAGATATAATAAATGTTTTTATTGCAGTATTGGAAAAATTGAAAAAGCAATTTATCATTTTAAACAATGTATACACATTACTTCACAATTTTCTGCAATATGTGTTTTGTTTGTCAAACCAATTGTATTTCAAAGATGTCTACTTTATGACTATCCCTAAAAAAGCAGTTTTAGTTTGAATTTTTTTTATTTACCCAAAGGACTATTTTTCCAACTTTAGATTTTTGAGACTTAACTTGTTGAAATATTTATCGATGACTCTAAGAAAATGCAAAATAAAAAAAGAAACAAGAAAAAAAAACTAGTGTGTCTCGCTGTTCTAACACAGAGAGCTTTTTGCTGGAGGAACATGACCTTTTTCAGATTTCATTTGCTTAAAGTCTCTCATTAATACTGACTCTAAATGCACAAGTTATCTTTTAAATGTCAGTTAAGGTTAAATGTCAAATTTTGGTAACAGCACACTGTGAGCGGACTCATTTCTGTCCCAGAAATGTTAATGACAACGCTGTGTTACTCTGAGATTTGAATAGCATTAAAGCATCATTTATCTTATTTATTCTGTTTTTGACATTTGGCTGTGTGAGCAGCACTATTTAAAATGTCTTATATTTGTCATTGTAGATTAATCTACAATAAGTTTGGATCAATGAGGAGCATTTTTAAACTGCTAATACAGCATGTCATAAGATCTTGATTTATAACTTTAAGGAGGTGATACTTTTATCAATGTCAAGCAGCAGGATGAGCAACAACATTTGTCCCACTCATCCGCTCTTCAGAAAGGCCCTATTTGGGAGAAATTACACTGACATAGTGATTGATAAGCATAGCTTAGACGGAAGAGGTGAAACATTCTACTGTGTCTTTTTCATTGCCTTCTTAGTCCTGATTGTAATATAGAGATGAGATCAGGTAGAACCGGGAGATAGAAACCTGCCAATGATGCCAATAACCAGAGAACAAATCTTCCCAGGGATTCTATTAGACTAGTAAGAGAAAAACACTATAACATATTGGACATATTCAGTAAATAAGAATGTTATTGAGAAGTGCATTCATTTCATTATCTTAATTCACAAAGTAAAATTCCCATAGATTAATTATTCCAGGTTATAAATAGCGTAGATGTTGTTTTGTTGTAAACTGTGCAAACAAAATAAACTCCATATTAAAATATTATGGATCTGGCAACTCTTTATAATTATCTAAAAATACAACATCTCAAACACTGAAGGTGTTGATATTTTAGTTTCAAACTTTTGACAAAGAACATAAGCTATAGTTTGTTTCCTGTTTCTTGTGCATCCAGATTTCTCAGATAAGTATTACTTACATTTCCTATGAGATTGTCCTTTCACTAAATATGCATAACGCTTTTGTTAAAATGACCAAAGGCATTTTTTGGTCTTGTGGCTTTATGAGCTACTCAGTAACATTCTGAATTACTTAGATTAATTATAATAGGATATTTTTTACTTAATTCCCTGATGTTAACTATTGAAAAGCATCTCTAAGATCATAAAATATGGGGAAAAAGGTAATAACTACATTTTTTTTTAAACAATAAAAGAAACATACATACAACGAACATCTACAGTGGTGCAGATTTTGATTTTACATTTTATTTTCTATATAAATAATTGATTTATACATCATTCTGATGGGTCCAGAATTCATGAATATTTACTTCTGATTATGATGTCAATATCTGTACAAAAATATTGTGCAACAGGTATAGTGGGCTGAAGTCATGTGAGATGGAGGTCAGGCCTTGCCTGGTCCTAACAACTCGTGATAGAGATAAGAAATGGGTTCTTCTTGCTCATTTACATTTGGTACCAACTTAAGGAAGCAAAGGGGGTCAGTAGATGCCACTAAGAGGTGGCCACTTTACTTCAAACAGGTAAGCTTAATGTTTGCAGACCTTTAAACCTGCCAGCAAACTGTTTGGAACAGGACTGGGTTTAATTCCTATTTGCTTTTTTGTGTTTTTACCCCAGATTTAACTCCTTGCCAGTAATTGCTTAGCTTAATGCTATCACCAAGGTAGTGAATAAAAGAAAAACTCTCTAATTATTATTAAAACAACCAAAGGAGTCATGGGCAACATTTCTACCATCTCTTTAATTAAATACTGAAATACCAACCAAGTCCAATCAACATTCATATATGAATTTACATAACATATAAATCACACGGCTTATGGCATTGTACAGAGTATGTACACACGGCTACATTTACAAATATACCATTCTGCTCATATCATTTTTTCAATCATTGTCTGTAGCAAATATATTTAATATAACAAAGCACAATAAAAAAAAACTTTAATCATAAGCGTCCAAAATCCTTTTTCTGCTCCATTTTACACCTTTCAAGTATCTGAAGAGAGTTTTTGAGCTAAAGAGGGCATCAGACAAATGGATAGAGACAGTGCTTATTTGTTTGTTTTAAAAAAAAAATCAGCTGCATCATTAGCGATAGTAAAATAACAAATAACAGGATTTTTTTTTAGGAATACTGGGCTTTTTCAACAGGGAAACACTTTCTAGACTAAATACTCGCAGGTGACAGATTTTGGAAGTAATTTAGGTCAAAGTATTAGAGCTATAGTGAAGTAGAGATTCTCCAGGGGTACATTGTAAACAAAGAACTATTAAGCTCTTCTAATCGTAGACAAACATAATGTCTAGTGTGACGCATTGCATTTAGTTTGTTTATAGTTTACAAGCATAAAAATCAGGTATGTTTCCCAGGAATCAATGAGAGCTGAGGACATGCATGGATCAACTGTTAGCAGATTTTTTTTAAAGAAAATAGAAAAATGAAGACAATGAAGACAAGCTGTATTCCAAGACAACAACAAAAAAAAAAGTTGTGAATGTGTTATTTTCTTAATGAGGACTTGTGGACAGTCAGTATATCAATTGCACCCAAAAATCTAAGTTTGGTAACTGGTCATCCTTTTTAGAGGGTTGAAAAGAAACTCAGAAGTTCAAATATAAGCTGAGTTTTTGCCATCTAGATGAATGAAAAATTGAAGATTTAGATCACTTGTTTTTTTTAGACTGTTTATGTCTTCCGAAAGATTGCAAAAACATCACTTGTAACTAAAATGATGCAGACTAGCCATCCAAAACATATAATTACTTACACACAAAAAAAAAAAATCCCTTTATGGTAGCTGTTTTAAATAGTTCAAGGAGCAGAGTACCACTAATAAAGAAATAAAAATTGTGAAATACATTTTTATCTGAATGGTTTACTGGAACAGTAATAAATACATAAAAAAAATGGAAAATGTATAATCATTTAGATATGTCAATAACTCATAAAATCCTGGATAATCAATGTAGACATTATTAAGACAATATTTTCTGTTTTACAGCCCTTACTCTCATCTTATGGCTAAACTTAGACAAATAAACTTCATATTAATCTCTTTTCAGAAAGCACAGTTTGCTTTGATCTCTTACTTTGATTGGTGAGTGCCTAACTAGTTAAAGCCAACCAATTAATGTTGTGCTGCAAAAACACCACTTTAGGGAAGAAATACAATTTTAAACTGATTTTATTGATCAGTTTAATATTGAATTGTACTTTATAATTAATTATTTCCACATTTGATTCTAGATTTTAAAAGTTATTGGGATTAAAATATATTCAAATATCTGAACATTTATGTACATATTAAATTTAATATTCTACTATAATTAGTGTTTATCATATTATTTATTATTTAATGAATTATTGCAATGTGGACTCAATTATTACGTTTGGAATAAATCCATACAGGAGCTAATTTTGGCAAATGGAATCTGTCCTAAATTTACATTCCAACATTATAGTTCAGAATTTCCTGATGGAAATCAACTACCTGGATTTCTAGGTGTCTAAGTCAAAATCAAGTTAATGAGGAGCTATAAACTGTGTCTAAAATATTTGAAAAAAGCAAAAGTGCAAGGCAAAGGAACAGAGCCCTTTCTAGAGAAATCTATAAATGAATGTATGTTACTTGTGTGGTGGCTGAAGGTTTGCCAGAGCTATATGAGATGCAGGACATTTCCATTGTGCTCAGAACATGCAGATTTCAGAAAAGCAAAATTATAGGGTGACAAGACTAGAAGAGTAATGTCAAAAATACCCCCGTGAGATTGGGCTGACTCCTTCTTGTTCGTGGATAGATGAATTGCAGAAAAATCCTGTAACTCATTCTGCATATACATAAGTTTTGATTCCCCTCAGCAGGAAGCAAAAGTGAGACGAGATGGGAAAAAGATGGGATCAAAGCAGAATAAGGAGTCAGTTCTCTTTATGATGATTTCCCCTCTCGTTGTCCTTTTTGTCTGGCCTGCATTGTTCTTTCAGTCAGAGTCTCCTCAGATTGTGCTCATCTGTGCAGGAGCCTTTCCTCAAGGTGATATCATCCACAGCCATCTCTCCACTTCGGCCTCTGCCACGCTCCCCCTTCAAGATAACCTGGTGAACAGCAGGGAAATAAACATTGGTACATAAGTATAAAAGGGGTCTTTAAAGCTTTTGCAGCAGCCATGATCCATTTCCTTTTAAGAGAAAAGAAAAATGTATATGTTAACAATAAACTGATATGTGAAGAGTTTACCTGGCAGTTATTTTAAATTAAAACAGCTTACAGGAATTGGAATATGTTAAACTACTGAGTGGGTGGTGAAAAAGGAGAGGATGGAGGAAGGGTATGGCAGACCTTTTTGACATTTATTAGCTTGCCTTAATATGTAATTCAGATGTCTTAAATGCATTTTTTCCAAGTCAAAATGAGCATTTCAAATATCTAAAATAACATTCTCCCCATGTAAAATAAACATTTCAGATATCTGGGTTTTTACTTCCAGATTTCTAAAATAAAATTCTTCCTATCTAAAATAAACATACTTCCTATCAAAAACTAAATGCTGACAAGGAGGAACTCTTATTTCAGATCTTCACAATAGTGTTACTACTAGTCACAATTATTCTTTCAGATATCAAAAATAATATGACATTATAGATATCCAGAAATCCAATTCTTGACATAAAAAATATATTTCTGCAAGTAGAAATTTCATTACAGATATCAGCAACTTGTTTTATTTATATGTTAATTAGAATTACAGTACAGATATCTCAGTTTTAATAATGCATGTCTATAATTTTATTTTAGATACTTGTACAAGAATAATGAGGCTCAGTTTAAACATAAAATAAGCAGGCTGACTAGTCACATTCCTATAATAGAGTGCACTAAAGAATTCTACCTAGTCACAATTACAATGTTCCTAGTTAGAATTGTATTTTAGATATCACTAATTACATTTCCACCGGTAGAAATTACATTTTAAGTACTCTAGAATCAAATTTGTACTATTAAGAACTACATTTCAGATATGTACAAATCTTTACTTTAAGTGGCAGATTGATCTGTATTTCATATTCAGATATCTTTAATAGTATTCCTTCTATCTAAAATTAAAATTTCAGATCTCTGAAATGTAATTCGTATTACTAGTACAAATGACACCACCTTTCCCCATTCGTGTGTATTGGGCCATGACTTTCAATATCCAAAATGACATTACTCCTATCTGAAATAAACATTCTGAATGACTAAAAATAAATTTCAGATCTACGTTATACAATTGTTACTTTTCGTAATTTTTATTTCAGATATCAAGAATGGAGAAAACATTGCAGACATCTAAAGTAAAATTTCTGGCATCCAAAATATATTTTTACTAGTATAAATATCTATACAGATATCTACAACTACATTTGTACTAGGAACAATTTAGTTGTGGATATCCATAATTGCCATTCTTCCTATCTAAATTCGAAATGAATACTTTAACGTAACTGATCATTGATGCAACGTATGAGTTGGACTATAGAAGCAAATCGTTACCATATTTCAAATGAAAAAGCATTTTCAGAAATGCTTTTTCATTTTAAGACCGTGGCTGCATTGTTTGACTCATAAATTAAATTAGTCATCAATCAAATCTGTTTGCATTTTCATTTTCTTCTTTAACACATCTCATCCTTTTATTTAATTAAAATGAAAAAGACATTTGAGATTTATTTTTCAAAATGTACCCCAGCAAATACATACCAAAATTAAATTTAAAATGTCAAATTTGAAAATGAAAAAGCATTTCCAGAAATGCTTTTTCATTTTAAGAATGAGGCTGCATTATTTGACCCATAAATTAAATAAGTGTTGGGATCTGGAGCTGTACCACCTGCCTCCAGCAGAGTTCGCTGTGGATCCTCCTGAGCTGAGCCTTCGACACACCTGAAGCCCATCTCGTCATCAGGAGGATCCTCCACTATATAAGCAGCCCTCAGACCTCGCATCAACGCCGCAGTGTTTATCCAGTTTGGTTAGCACCTGAGCCTCACTACCTCTGTGAAATCTTTGTTGCTTCTAGTATCCTAGTTGGATTCTAATTCCCTTTTTGTCTCTGCCTACAGGAAACCTGTTTTTGTCCTGTAAGCTCTGGATGAGCTTAACCTGTCGAGCCTGCCCTCTGAGCCAAACCTGAAGACCCTTCTCTGGATTCAATGCTGCTCTGGACTAGAGCTGGAAAACCAAGATCAGTCTAAACGTTAGATGCAAGACGCTGAAGCTGAAACTGAACTCTGCTGAATCAAACAGTCTCTGGACCCAACAGTGCCTCTCTCAAAGCCAAGCCCGGATTCCTCAAGGTAGAACTCAGAAGATAACATCACCTGACTCTTCTGCTACGTGGCTAACTGAACTGTCTCCCTTTCAGTATCCTGTGAACCAGATCCCCAGACGTGAACCAGTGCCTGACCCTTTACATGTGCAATTGTCAATAAACTCATTTGAACCTTTTCCCTGTTTCCCGTGGTGTTCTGCATATTGGGCCTCTCTAAGTAATCCATCATCCTATTTGCATTTGCATTTTCTTCTTTAAGACTGCAAATTTTATACCATAATCAAAGAGAAAACACAGCGGACATTGCTTTTTCGTTTTCGTGGTCTGCCTGCAAAGTACTGTCCGAAACGAAAAGAAGTCTGAGCGGCGGGCGCAGCAGACTGACATCAGCAGCCGCTCTTCCTCAGGTCCTTGCTGACCGGGCTACCCATCTTGATCGGTAGGGGGCGCTGTGCACGTCTGCATTGCATTACACTATAAGCGTGCCGGCGGTAAACTGGTTGAATTGCTGGGTCTTTAGCATCACAGGTCATGGCACTCCCTCAAATTGTAAAAACACTTTTAGAATTAGCTGAGCAGGTAGAATCCAATCCAATATGGTAACGATTTGCTTTCATATTTGACATTGTTGAGCACTGCACCCAGGAGGTCATTATTCCCACTTGCTAACACTGAATATTTTTCCCTCTGGAATAAAATGGAGGCAGACATTAACAGAACTTCTGCTTTTGACAGACTTTCTGGTGTTTCTCGTGCAAGACGCTCTATGCTGCCACAAATCCCCTGGTTGAGAATGAGCTAATTTCATTTTCTTTCCATTCTGTCCAGACTATCACCGACACAATTACTGCTTTCAAATCCAGAGAGGAAGCTAAACTCATAAAACCGAATGTCTTGAATTTAGGTTCAAAATTCTTAAACTATGTAAGATACACTATGTTTGGTCATTTTTTCTTGAGATTAAGAATGTTTATTTTAGATAGGAAGAATGTTATTTTAGATATCTGGAAGTAAATGCCCAAAACACATGAATATGGAAAGTGACGTCATTTGTACTAGTAGGAATTACATTTCAGATAACTCAAATGTTTATTGTAGATAGGAAGAATACTATTTTAGATATCTGAAATGTTCATTTTGACTAGGAAAAAAATAATTTGAGAGATCGGATATATATATTTAGTCAAGCTAATAAATGTCAAAAGGGCCACTTAAAATTTGTAAAGATTTCTAGGTATCCGAAAATTTATTCTTACTACTACAACTATATTTTTGGCATCCTGAAATTAAATTGTTGCTAGCAAAAATGTAATTTAGGATATCTATATGTACATTTCTGACTAGTAGGAATTAAGTTTTGACCAGGAAGAACCTTCTTTTAGAGATCAACAAATGGAACAATAGAGAGGACAGTGCTTCTAATAAATGTAAAAACGGATTGCCATAGGGTTGTTTATATTATTCCCTAAAGGTTTAGCTTAGAGGTTTAGAGTAAGGATTTGTGAAAAAAATAAAGAAGTGAAGAGAGCATCCTGCTCCTCACCCACTAAAACAATCTAATTCCAAGAACAGGGGATAAAGAACAGTTTGTGCCATAGATTTAACATGGAACTATAGAAAAGTCAACAGCCACATCATAAAAGCAAATACAAATGATATTTTTGAGCATAAAGTTTCTAGACTATGAAAATTTTTCATTTTCTGTGTTTATTGTTTTTTTTTTTTTACTTTTGAACCTTTTGGTTTAATAAATCAAAAATGTTTTCTTAAATATTCCTGCTTCCTGCATGTTTATATTTGTTTACCAGCGGTATGACGCAGCGCCCTCCCCCACTTGGTGTACAAAATAAATGTAGGCATCTAAAATTTTATAAGCCTTCAGTGCTTTCCCTGAAAAGCAAGACTGTCGATTCACCAAATAATTATAGAGGACGTGGTAGGCGAAGTCGGGGATGTCTGAACGATGGCAGTCTTGAATCTGCGTAAACAAGCTATCGGGCCTATTATAGGGATCCTGCACTCCAAGAAGAGAACTTTTTGCACACCGTTTAATCTCCCCATCTAAATGTTCAACATATGTAGACAATATTGGATCTGCAGATTCTAAACTCAATTTGTATTACATTGCTTTAGTAAATATCACACATTAATATTACGCCGCACACAGGTGGTTCTATGCTGTCAGTATGGTGGAGTAAACAGACAGCGGTCATGTGACTGTATGTCCTCTATAGAAAAAAACAGGACTAAAATTGAAATTTGCCTTTAGAACTAGATTTTATTATTAATTATACTTACACTTTCCAGGCCTGTACCCCATAAAGTGATCTGAGTGTGCCTCCAGCCGTTGCCACCAGTTCGGCTCCATACTGCAGGACTGAACTGCTTTCCCTTTTTCACGAACACCTGAAGCATTCCCACATGGTGGCCTGCCAGCTTGTGGCGAAATGAAAGGCACAAGTTGCCGTCATTCCAAGGAGAGATGAGAGGCAGTACTAGCCGGGCCCCTCGTCCCGTCCTCTTGTTTCTTGTTTCTGGGATAGTAAGATACCGTCCACCTGTACAAGCAAATGGATGATGTAAATAAATAAAGAAAACAAAATAAAAAGGACAATGATAACCTTTTTTAGTCACAATGGAGATTGACTTTTCAAATTTGATAATGTTGCATTAAATTGGTGTGTTGGGAGATCATAATCCCACAAAAGGAAGGAAAACAGCTAACTATAATCTTTTTAAAAATAAGCTTCCTGTATCATTATGTGGATTTAGCAATCCAATTTTTTCAGAGTGATAAAAGGAAAGTTTAATATGAGAATTTAAAGGCTTGTTTCAACTCAGGTGTCAGCAAATCTGCTGTATTGCTTTTCCACCTTAGATTTGTTTTACCTAAAGAAGTAAGACTGAAGAAAGTTAAATATAACAATACTTATTGCCTTTAATAAATAACATATGTATGTAGTGACAATTACTCAAAATGGTAATCAAGTTTTTAAAAGAAAAAAAAGTTTTCAAATAAAAGTAAAAAAAAAAAAAACTTAGCAAAAAGCTAACCCATCATGAGTAGAAACAGGGCCAATTGCATGCATATATATATATATATATATATATATATATATATATATATATATATATATATATATATATATATATATATATATATATATATATATATATATATATATATATATATACAGGTGCTGGTCATAAAATTAGAATATCATGAAAAAGTAGATTGATTTCAGTAATTCCATTTAAAAAGTGAAACTTGTATATTATATTCATACATTACATACAAACTCATATATTTCAGATGTTTATTTTGTTTAATTTTGATGATTACAAATGACAACAAATGAAAATCTCAAATTCATCATATCAGAAAATTAGAATATTACTGAAGACCAATAAAAACAAAGGATTTATAGAAATGTTGGCCAACTGAAAAGTATGAACATGAAAAGTATGAGCATGTACAGCACTCAGTATTTAGTTGGGCCTCCTTTGGCCTGTATTACTGCAGCAATGCGGCGTGGCATGGAGTCGATCAGTCTGTGGCACTGCTCAGGTGTTATTATAGCCCAGGTTGCTCTAATAGTGGCTTTTAGCTCTTCTGAATTGTTGGGTCTGGTGTATTGCATCTTCTTCTTCACAATACCCCATAGATTTTCTATGGGGTTAAGGTCAGGAGAGTTTGCTGGCCAATTAAGAACAGGGATACCATGGTCCTTCAACCAGGTACTGGTAGCTTTGGCACTGTGTGCAGGTGCCAAGTCCTGTTGGAAAATGAAATCTGCATCTCCAAAAAGTTGGTCAGCTGCAGGAAGCATGAAGTGCTCTAAAACTTCCTGGTATGTGGCTGCGTTGACCCTGGACCTCAGAAAACACAATGGACCAACACCAGCAGATGACATGGCACCCCAAACCATCACTGACTGTGGAAACTTTACACTGGACTTCAAGCAATGTGGATGAAGTGCCTCTCTTCTTTTCCTCCAGACTCTGGGACCTTGATTTCCAAAGGAAATGCAAAATTTACTTTCATCAGAGAACATGACTTTGGACCACTCACCAGCAGTCCAGTCCTGTTTCTCTTTATCCCAGGCAAGACGCTTCTGACGCTGTCTGTGGTTCAAGAGTGGCTTGACACAAGGAATGCGACAGCAGAAACCCATGTCTTTCATACGTCTGTGTGTGGTGGTTCTTGAAGCACTCACTCCAGCTGCAGTCCACTCTTTGTGAATCTCCCCCACATTTTTGAATGGGTTTTGTTTCACAATCCTCTCCAGGGTGCGGTTATCTCTCTTGCTTGTACACTTTTTTCGACCACATCTTTTCCTTCCCTTCGCCTCTCTATTAATGTGCTTGGACACTGAGCTCTGTGAACAGCCAGCCTCTTTAGCGATGACCTTTTGTGTCTTGCCCTCCTTGTGCAAGGTGTCGATGGTCGTCTTTTGGACAACTGTCAAGTCAGCAGTCTTCCCCATGATTGTGTAGCCTATAGAACTAGACTGAAAGACCATTTAAAGGCTTTTGCAGGTGGTTTGAGTTAATTAGCTGATTAGAGTGTGGCACCAGGGGCCATCAATTTTGAACCTTTTCACAATATTCTAATTTTCTGATATGATGAATTTGAGATTTTCATTTGTTGTCATTTGTAATCATCAAAATTAAACAAAATAAACATCTGAAATATATGAGTTTGTATGTAATGTATGAATATAATATACAGGTTTCACTTTTTAAATGGAATTACTGAAATCAATCTACTTTTTCATGATATTCTAATTTTATGACCAGCACCTGTATATATATATATAATATTTTATATTTTATTTCCCTTTGGGATTAATAAAGTATTTTTGAATTGAATTGAGTCTGAAACCAAAATAAAAATCAACCATAACAATCAGGCTCCACAAAGACAAAAACAAGCAATACTGAAGCTGTACTAATTTTAGGTGATTCAATGTCAAAAACAAAAAAAAGAAAAAAGGCAATTTTGTGTTCTGTCACAGCCTATTTGTTTGTGGTCTTCGGCTTACTTGTTTCACTCAAAACATTGTGCTTATTCAACTACTAAATCTGAATTATTTTCCACTATTTTAACTGTCCTCATAAAACAGCTTTTCACTGGTTGCAACAAAATCCTTCTGCACTTTGATCTACAACTGAGTTAATTGGCTTCCCAACCACTTAGAGATTCATTTTATTAATGTATGCACCAGAGCAATTTAACTTGAAAGTGCTTCTGGGTAAAACGCTGATAAATGCTGATTTATGTTTATTTTGCTTCTCTGGCAGAGCCATTTGTGGCTGTTGTTACTTTTAGAGGTTGCACTAGTTAAGGATTCAACATAAGTTATAAATTCCATCAAAGTAAAAAATATTCATGTTTGTCCATGGCGGTCACAGGAAAAGAAGGCGATAAGAAAAAACATACACCTACAGGCATCACAGCAAAAAATAGCATTAGTAGTGGAGACATGTAACCACAGGAGGAATGGTCCAGAAGTGTTTTAATGCAACCTCAACAAGGTGCTGCTCCTTGAAATGTATCCTCTTTATTATCTAAGGTCAGTAATTATACAAAATTATGATATATTATGTATAATTTACTAAAAAAAATGGAAAAATGCAAGGCATCAAGCTGGACAAACCAGATGTAGATACTTTTAGACTTTTTGCATCATCTCAATATAACTTACTATGTTTTTCCCTTTTTTATTTAAAAAGCTTAAGTGACGGGCCACATAATCCACTTCTCATTTACATTTTTTTGAAGAGCAAAGCACTAATCTGCTGAAGACAAATTACTTTCCTTTAGTTATTTATTTGCATTCATCTTGACCTGTAATAAAGCAGAACCAAACAGATTTTCTTTGAGTGCAAGCATGTGCATGTTGATAAAGCAACAAAGCCCTTCTAAATCTACTTGTAAAACAATTATAAACAAACTTCAGTCCATAAGTACGTGGGTTTTTGAAGGATTGACTCTATCCTTCATTTACCTGTTGGATCAGGTGTCGTTTCCCAGTGCAGGTCTCCATCTTTGTCCCTGATCCAACCACAAAGACCATCATCAAAGGAGCAGCTCAAATACCCAGAGCCTGAGAAACAGAGTAGATTACAAATGTGTCATCCTGTGTGCCTTTAACATCAACAAAGAAGAAAGACAAAGCTTCCTCTGATAAAACCCAAGTGTGTTTTTAATTTATCAGGAGAGTATTTAATATGTAAAACTAGATGTCATTCCAAACAGAAATTCATCAAACATGAAATTCCATACAAGTGATCCCTATGTGAACCTAAACCAGGTCTTGTGTGAAGCCAGATTAGTTGGAAGTGAGTATAGTCATTAGTCCAGTGAATTAAGAAGCCCCATCTGTCAGAGTAAAGGTGTCTTTTTCAAGTAAAAACTTGTCAGCAAAGAAGAAACATATTTTTGTCTAAGCCCCTTTATCAAATATTTTACTGCTATTGTAATAGTATTTTATTGCTTTGTTGTAATACCCTAATATTTAATGTGCAATCCTCAGTAAAAAAGAAAAAGCGAGAAAAGATTATTCTGCCAGGATAGTCTTCTATATGTTATTTAATTCATATATAGAATGCGTTAAACATGGAGTAAAATCATTGAGTATAACACTAACCTAAATATAACCTAGAGCATAGAAAACGATCTAGAATTGATGGATTTGGCAACAAAAAGATCAGGATGATAACAAGGAGACCTTCCAAACTTGAAGCTTTGATCTAAAAAGACTGTTCATCCAAACAGTCATGAAAACCTACAAAAAACTGACCATTAATTGTAAGACAAGGTATAAATGCTCTAATGTAAAAAGTTATCCAATTTAATATTGAAAAGACTGAAAGTATGCTCATTTTATACCAAATCTATCATCACTTTAAAGGCAAACTATGCAAATGTAGAGCAGGTCAAGAGAGAGAGGAAATTTAAACTCTTATCTTTAAGTACAAATTGATTATAATGGGTGCCATAAAGGGATCACTTTCAAAAAGGTGAAGGTGCTGAAGGCATAAACAAGAACGCAGTATGTGCTTCAATCATATTAGTTCTATTTCTAAAGGGAACCCAAACTAAAATGTTAACAATTATTTCCAAATGATAATACAATGGCAATGAAAATAGACAATCCATAGATATATGTGATCTGGCATATCTTTCAAAGCATCATCATTTTGCTTTTAATAAAGGGGACTCTCTCTCCATTCGCCAAAAAATGCCAAACTGAATCTTTCAGCTATTTAATCCACACTTTCCCTTGATGTTAATCACACCAAATGGACATGACTTAACAAAAGTGATCATTTTGGATCGATCTATGCATTGAATTTTGCTTATTGATGAATTTTAGAGCATTAAACTAATGTGCTTCCAGTTAATTCATCATTGAGGCAGTGAAACGAGCAAAGGGTGAGAAAAAGGACATTCTGCTGCACATAAGACTGTTGTGATTAAAGCAACATGTCTAGATGCCAGGTGTTCCCTCCGATTAAATAAACCTGGTCACTTTAATAACCTCATCTTTGCATGAGGAGCTATAGGAGATTGTTTCTAGTTATCTAAACCTAAAGTTCATGTTATTCATATCCTGATCCGTCTGTGAAATGCTCTTTCTAGCTGCGGCTGTCATACATATCATCTTACCTGGATCATCGCTGGCTTCATCTGCCGTGTTGCCAAGTTCAATATCAAAGTCTGTATCGAGAACAGTGTTCTGGCCGTTATTCCTGGGGACTGAGAGGAGAGGCATGGGTTTATATAAAGGATTAACAAATATATTGTATTGATTCAATGTTCTCTGCTTTGAGTGGCTGCATGACTTTGTTACAATGGACATCAAAGTGCTTTACAGGGAGGAATCAATGTCAAGGGTTTAACATCTAAAAAACAGCAGATATTGATTAAAGACATTAGAAAAGGGCAAGCCCTGTGTTTTGACTGGAGCAAGGTCTTTTCAAATGTCGTTATATATACTTTTTTTGGTTTATGTTCTATTGATCCAAATGGAGGACATTTTCCTGAAACATAAAAAAAAATCTCATTATAAACAAACTGCAAAAGGCCTAGCACCTTTGTACTAATACAAATTACCCCTCCCTTCACCCTACTTATCATACTAACAACATCCGAGGTAGGAGTAAAAAGCAAAGCTTTTGGCTTTCAGGGCCCTTTCTATCCTTCCATTTTTTCTGGCAGTCTATGGGTGAGAGGCGAGGTACACCCTGGATAGGTCATAAAGCAAAACAAAAACACACAAGGACACATGACCATACACACACACACACACACACACACACACACACACAGTCTCACTCACACCAAAGGAAATGTTTTTTTAGAGAAGCCAATTAACCTATCAGTCATGTTTTGGACTATGTGAGGAAGCCAGAGTACCCAGAAAGAACACATGCATGCATGGGGAGAACATGCAGAAATATCCCAGGCAAAGAAACAAACCCAGAAACTTCTTGCTGCAAGGCAACAGCACTACCCACTGCTCCACCCTGCAGCACCATTTCCAGTTATTTAAGCTATTTCCAACCCTTTCTCTCTGGAAATAGGTTTGGTAAGGAAAATTGCCATGCCAAGCTTTAAAAAAACCTGAAAACCTTCCTCAGTATTTATCCATTAATTTACTTATTGGTATTAGATATTTCATTGAACTGCCAAACCATTGTCCCTTATATCGTATGTTTGTTAAACTCTTTAAGTGTGTTTGCACATGCTATATTAAAAAGCTGAACTGATTTAATTTCGTCTGGTCATGATTCCTACAAAATGACACATGACCTCCTCTCATTTAGGCTTGGTCAGAAGAGTATTCCTGCACCTTGATAACAGAAAAGAGGTTAGTAGAGATGTTATCAGAAACACCTCTATCAAAAGCTCTATGGAAAAAAGCAGATTAAGAGGCAGTTTTGCTCATTTAAACTGAAGTTTTCAGCCAAAGAAGCCTGCAAAACAATCTTCTGTTAAAGAGGGGCAAAAATGTTGACCTTCTTTCACAAATTGAATAAAAATAAAAGACAGTGTGGGTCTCAGATGTTCATTTTTCTTATGTTTGTCTAGCTGCCTTAGAAGAAAGCACTTCTGCCTTTCATTAATAACTGCAGAAGGCCAAGCTGACATTAAATGTCAACCATTTTTAGAGTCCTGTGTCTTATCCAGCAAGAAAAAGTTTATTTTAGGTAGAAAAAGGTATAATGTTAAAGAGGAAGAGTGTATTTTACATATACATGGTCATGTTTAAATATCAGAACAGGTGCTGGTGTATGCATGGATATATTTATAACTAATACACATCTAATCCCCTGAGACGCTGAGCACGTGCACTGAATAAGCCTGTGGTTCATGACCACCTGGTAGAGTGCAGAAATTGGTCAACTGGAAAAATCCCAGAGTGGGAGAGGTCATGCATACACCAGGCACTCCAGCAATCCTTGGCATCCCAGTCCATCTGTGTGTAAATCTTGGTTTCAGTGCCTGGATTAAGTCCCGTTTGAAATTGTACGCAGAGTGAATGTTGAGCACACTAAAAAGATCTGGTGGTAAACTGTTGTGATATTGTATTCTCCCTTAAAAGCTTCTTTTGTTTTAGCTTTTTTTTGTGCCACATTGAAATGCATTGGAAAAAAGGGTAAAAAAAAAAAAAAGTAGTGTAAATTAAAGATAATTTTTCATTTATCAATGGGAAAGTTAGTCTAGAGAGTATTATCTCCCCACTCCCTAAAAATAAATGAATGCACAACAATGGACCATTCTGTGAAAGATACAGATAACACCACCTTCATTGGTCCTATCCAGGAAAACAATGTCTTCATACAGACAGGAGGTTACTTGGCTGATTCAAACCTACTGGATCTTAATCATATAAAGTCTAAGGAGATGGCTGTGGACCTCTAGAGCAGTGGTTTTTAAACTAGGTCCTTAGCATCCACTGTCCTGCATATTTTAGGTATTTTCCTGCCTCCACACACCTGGCTTAAGAAACTATTGAATAGCATGTCACTGCAGCCTATGGTGGCTGCTGAGAAGGAAGTGCAATCATTTGATGCAGGTGTGCTGGAGCAAAGGTCTATGACATGCAGGACAGTGGGTCCCCAGGACCGAGTTTGAAAACCACTGCTCTAGAGAGCTCTCCTCTTCCGTCACACATCTCGCATACAAACTGTTTATATTATGACCTACAGATCAGCACAACAGTGTGCTATTTTCACAAACCAACAACCATAGAGACAGTTTCTTCCCCTAGTCTGTAAGTCTCACCAACAGAATGTGCTCCTCACAGCCAGATTAGTCAGCTACATTATAAAGGCCTAAAACTCTAAAGTATAAAGGGCAAAAAAGGTTAGTTCTCATTTGACTGATGACATAAAACATGCACCAGATGACTGTAACAAAGTAAACCACGCATAGAAAAAAAAGCCATTGAATGATGTCTAATAAAGAGGAAATACGTTTCCATTTTCTCCTGCATAGTCCTGGTCAGGGTCACGGTGGGGCCGGTGCCTATCACTGACAGCCTATGGGAGAGAGGCGGAGCATATCCTGGGCAGGTTGCCAGGCTGTCACAGGGCAACACAAAAAGACACACAACCATGCACACAAGCCTAAGGAAAATTTTGATAAGCCAATTTGTCATGTTTTTTGCATGTTGGAGGAAGCTGGAGTACCCGGAAAGAACCCACGCATGCACGGGGAGAACATGCAAACTTCAGGCAGAAAGACCCCAAGCCTGGCATCAAACAAACATCATAAACAAACTTGTACTATATCAGCACAAATAATACTAGTCTATTTAATCCTAACTGATTGTCGATGAAAATATTTCTCATTAGGTATCATAATAAAAGCACCTTATAAGATGAACTTATCATTAGTGAATATTTAAGTGAAACAGTGAGGGAACCCTTATCCAGAAGTGGAAGGAACACTGTTTTTTCATTCATTATCTCAGTTAGGATTAAATTAGCTCTAAAATCCTTGATTCTTAATGAAAGTGACTGCATTGATTATGTTTTTACTGTCAAATAATAAAAACATTGAAAGTAAAACTACCAGTAATATATATGATGACAGCACAGGTCCTCACAAAGAAATGAAAATACTTTGATTTATTGCTCAGTGTTTTCTATTCCTCAGGCTGTTCTCCTGAAATCCCCTGCTAACTTGCACTAAGAGACACATATCAATTCTCATTTCTGACCAAAATATTTGTACGATTATTTTCTGAAAGATTGGCTCCATTTTCCATATAATCGTCATCAAAAAGCTCTGCTGTGGTGAAAACTATTAGATTGGATGTTTTGCTCAAGCCGAGCGAAAGGTAGATAATGCAATCTTCTTTCTTTATTAGCTCTTGTTGTTATGAGATGCCATCTGGCCAGATGAGTAACATCCAGATTCTATTTTTATTTTCTGGTATTTAACTGTTCAAACTCAGTAGACAGCAAGTGTTACATTTGAGTTTTCTTACCCATCATCTAAATAGGGGTTAAATAAACTTATTCCATTTATTCCTTTCACCTTTACCCTTGACTTTCACATCTCTACATAATTAAAAATGTCCAAATAACTACTTAGTTTTCTCCAGATTCAAGTTCGATTTGCTTAAGTCAAACCTGTTTTTTAGCTTATTTGTTTTTGGTGTGATATCATTCAAAACCTGCTCTAAAGAACTCACAGTACTGAATATATTTGCATCATCTGCAAACAAAACAAACAGGGATATTTTTGAAACTTAAAATTCATTTTTGCAGAGAATAAAATAAAATTAGCCTCTGTAGCTATCCTTTGCAGGGCGTAGCTTCCCATTGCTCTGGTGCTTTTTCCCTGGTGGACGTGTCTGCTTTCCTCCTGAGCTTTCACCTCTTTGGCAAGCTCCAGAATACCTTTGTGCTGCACTCAGCAGAAACCTCCTATCCTATCAAGATAATATATTCTTATGGACAACAACAGGCTGAATGGTAGTAATTAATAAGTTTTAGTAATATCAAGGGACCCAGAAAATATTTCTTAGTAAAAGCAGTCTTATCCTGTCATTATTGGTGTGTTTATTTACTTAAAAATACATAAATCCAATATAAGCCTACAAAATAAATACTGAACCCAGTGTTTGATATGTTTTATTTGGTTGTTCATATGTAAAAATGACATAGTTAAGTAAGAAAGTATTTCCATCTACCCAGTTTGATTGAACAAAAGATAAATACTGCTTTTATGTTTTACTTTGGCCGAAATTATTTAATTTTAACCCCCTCTAAGTCATTTAAACCTACTTAGCTTAATCGTTTTAATTACAACTGTCATAGAAAAACAAAGAATGGTAATGTGCTTCTAATGAAATAAGAGTCAATGATTCATGCTTGGCTGCCATCACAGTGTGACGTATACACAAGCCAGAAAGTGCTCGCAGGTTTGTATAAAATACGACTGAATTAAAAACAGAATTATCTCAAGATGAAAACATTACCTTAACTGTGAAATTAGCAAGATTGATATCAGATTACAGAGATACAAAATATGTTTGCCTTCTAGGACATTTTGTTTTACAAATGCTTTAGTCAAGAAGACTTATCTAAAGATATAAAACAGTGAATGCAGACTATTAATTAAAGAATAAATGATAGTATATGCAGTCAAACTTTTTAAACCTGGTCATGCAAGTATGGAAATATGGACACACTATTCTTATTTCTAAGATAGAACTCACAGCTTTTACAATAAAGTCCTGAATAATTGTATAAAACAAAGTCCGTATGGTGAAGATAAATCAGAAACTCCCTAGCTGTGGAGGTTCCTCCAATTTTTTCAGTGTCAGCTTTTAAATGTTTCTTTCACACACAATATCTATTTTAGGGTGTTTACTTTTTAGCGTTTTTATTGTCATTACACTTTCACAAGTACAGAGCAACGAAATGAACCCTCTGCATTTAACCCATCCCCTTTGATCATACACTAACCACTAGGCCACCACTCCCCCACAAACATGATTTTGATTGTTTGAAGATATATCATAATGTACTATTTACCGTCCGTAGATGGTTTTTTTTGTGTGTGTGTGATATATATCCTCGTCTTTCAGCTTTCTTTATTTTACTTTTTTGGTCACATATACATATTCTACATAAATTAATTTCAATATCAGTCAAAGGTAATCTAAGGTAGTAAAAGGTGAAGTTTTCTCTTTGTGATTCAGTTAAAGCTACCAAAAGTAACCTGGCCTTGAGTGAGAAAGTAACCAACCCTGATTGTGCCAGCCTTGGCAGCAACAACCGCCATTAAGTAGTTGTGAAAACTGGGAAGGGTTTCCTTTGACATTAAATAGGATTACTGGCTAGTATTAATGCTTCCCCAGTTCTCAAAAATACTACAAAACCTTTCATAAATCAATTTGACAGTTTTCTAGAGAAACACAAATTGTTGAGTAGCTGCCAAAGGTTCATAAGTAATAGATAAACAGAAATGTGCATTGTGATCAGTGTGAACTCTTCATGTACTTTATGCATTTCCTACTCTCCTCTAACTCATTGTGACATATAACAGCTTGCTTGCTAAGCATAATCTTTCCTCTGACTGAATTATTGTAAGACAGAGTTGGTAAAAATTGAGATTTTCATGGGCATTCTAACTGCTGTGAGTATGCTTTTGAGTATGTGTTGTTCTTTGGGAGTTTTTAATAGGATGAAGGTCTGTGATTAGATTATAACACCTGTTGAAAAGCACACATGAAATATATACAAGGAAATTAGGTTTGTGTGTTGCTGTCCTGGGGGAGTGAGGCTTTCTTTAAGAATCATATTCAACAAGTAGGTTGTGATCCAAAAAGCATGAGGCTTCTTTGTATGGCAAATAAAATAGCTCGTTTGATCATTATATATTGCAGACTTTCTACAGGTTGTAAACTGAATGCTGGCGACTGAGCCAAAGGCCAATATAATAGTTTAAACACAAAAGATTTATGAGGATAAAACCAATCAACAAACAAAGAAAAAGAATGCTTTTAAGACACTAAGCCATTATAGCTCATTAGTATTTTGTGACTGAACTTCACATTCAAATGCATGGGTATGTGCAGCCTTACTTTTGCCTGTATGAAATATATGCAAGCTTGTGCATGGGTAATCTATAAAGCTCTGGAGTGCCACTTAGCTTTATCGAGTGTTTTACATCATTGCTTTTGTTTAACAGCCTGCAGCTTTTCTATTTTTGTTCACTGCGGCTGGTTTAAGTATGAAAATACAAACCTGTAGAAAGTTATAGTGTACCACCAATTTTGCACCATATGTGGCTTCAAATGCTGACACATAAACTTGATCAAAATAATATTTGGGTTCTTACTGTGCACATCGCCTCTTTGTTTAGTGACCTCCCTCTGGATGGTGTTGTCCACTGGTGTGACAGGTGGTGGGGTTGGTAATGAGGGTTTTCTTGTGGGATACACTGGCCTTGGTGGGATGTAGGGTTTACGTGTAGCTATTGACGGCCTTCTTGTGGGGATGAAGGGCTTTTGAGTGGGAACTGCTGGTTTATTTGGAGGTGGGGTGACCCTCCTAGGGGATGGTAGGGCTTTGGCCGTAGTTGTGGCCGGTGATTTTGGAAGAGTGGTGAAGGTTTTCTTTGAAGTCACTGCTGGACGGACTGTGCTAATCCTTCTGTCATCCGAGTCAGGGATGTGGTTGTGATGATTGGGAGGCAGTTTGCCTGGTCTTGGGGGGTCAATAATCACCTTTGGAATAGCTGAAATGACAGAAGAATGCAGACAGAGGGCTGAAAGATGAGCACTTTAGGAGGTAATGAGGCACAGAATTGCAGACTAACTGCAGTGATTAGGCTGACTTGCAGAGAGAGCTTTATTCCATCCCCTGAGACTTCTACATGAGATCTATTAACTAAATATAAACAGACTGAAAATGTCTGGGTGAAGCAGAGGAGAGTGAGTTTAAAATCACTAAGAAAAAACTCAAACAAAGCCACAGAAAAACAAAACAAAAAAACTGTATGACAAATATTTTAAAGGTGGAAAGGGTAAAAAATTTAAACTAATCAACAAATAAACCAACTTTATATTTGGCTTAAGTGATATATGGATAAATATAGAGTTTTCTTCTAAGAGCAGAAGATGTTTATTATTGTAAAATAAGTTCAACTGATTTTTTTATTTATTTTTTTTGGGGTGGGGGCAATCAATAAAATGTATGCTAAATTAAATCTGAGCAAAATATCAGTCAAGCTTTAGTAGTATTCTGAGTCACCCATAACAATAGTGATCTTAAACTCCAATCCTGGAGGACCTGTGTCCTGTTACTACTCTTGTCGTACACATCCTAACTTTGCAGGACATCCCCTGTAATGACTGGAGCTTGAGACCACGACCTTAAATGCTCATTATGTCTTATACAAGTACAACCTATGCAGAAAATGAGAAGCCCGTCACAGTGTCTGCAGCATTTATGCTCTATGTGGGTTTCCTCCCATTCTGGTCAGATCCAAGGGAGGAGGGGTGTTCAGTACAAACAGCAAGCTGAAAATACCACCCCACACTGTCCAAGTAGGACACTCATTTATTTCAAGAAGTTTTTCCACAGTTTGTTGATAGTTGTTTTTTTTTTTAGCTAAATCACAGGATCTATAGATGTTTATATTTAGGAACCCTTGCTATCAGGAGCTGTTGCCCGCTCCGCCTGTTTTTCTGCGTGGATCTGTCCGGATAGTTACAAATTTTCCTAGGTGTGCAGTGTGAAAATTCTGTCCGCACCATCTCTGCATGAAAAGCCATGAAACTCCAAAATGACGTCATTTCGGTTGTGTGGATCTCGCGGATGCATCAAGCATAAACCAAGCTTTACAGTGACTTACTACAAAAACTAAGAGATTTTCTCACTTTGACTATCATGGCAGATGGTGTTCTTAGCAAGGATTTTGACAACTACAACACTGTAATGCAGTTAAATCATTATTGCAGACTTGGCCATTCCTCTATACCTGGCTTAGAAGCTGTTATACCTCTTTCCTGTGAGCTTTGAGGCCAAATATAACTTGGGAGTAAGTGATTATCGAAATTTTCAAGTTAGAGACTGCTTTAAAAAGGGATAAACAAACTGAATATTGCAACATGAGTCCCCCTCTTTGTCCTGGAAACTTTAGGTAGGTGACATGTTGAAATGCTTGGAAATGGGCATCTTTGCTTAATACGCCAAAAATATCAGCTATTTATAAAATGATTAAATAACAGTAATTAATAAATGGCTGCAGATGTAATACACAGCTGCATGCTGACCAGCTTTAAGAGATGAAAATAATTAACATTTGATAATGACTCCCACTTTTGGCTGGCTAAAAATGCAACATAGCAGAAACAGTGACTGTGCATATGAGATAAGGTGAAGTAGAGTGATTTAACCAGTGACTGACAGCTATTACAAAGGAAGGAATTTCAGCATCAATTCCTGGCTTTCATGGCTATTCCTCCCTCTTCTTGCTAGTTTAACCTTTTAAGAAACAGCTAAAGAAAGTAAAGTGAGGCCCTATTCACCATTCTGAACTTTTAAACATGGGGGCTGGTATTTTTGTTCCCAGACGTTACTTACGTTTACACTCATGCCCCATCCCCCTGTAGCCATCCATACATTTGCACTTGTATGAGCCTGGCGTGTTGTAGCAGGTGGCAAAGCTGCTGCAGTAGCTCAGACCTAAAGAGCACTCATCCACATCTGAAAGATAAAGGAAACATGAAAACATTTAGTGACAGCGAGGAAACCCTTCAGACATAACAGCAGAATATCAAAGGCTAATTGCTCAGTGTGCACATGATGGGAAACGTAAACTTTTTTTAAACAGAGGCTCTTTATGTTTTCATCAATGCGGCAGCGAGATCATTATGAAGGCTATTTGGGAAAATCCTAAGGCACAGCAATTTACCAAGACCATTTACGCATCCTGTGGGCAGTGAAATGTTTTATCTATGAATGGCATGTCTGTTTACAAGGTTTGCTTAAAATGCTCTATAAACCAAGCAGATGGAAGACTATTGAATAAAGGTAACTGAAAATTAGTATGATGAATGCCCGTCAGGGCGGACTGTTGAGAGAGCTGCTGAATGCACTACTTTATTACAGAGACATTTTTTTTTTTTTTTCAAGGATGTAAAGTACATGTTAATAATGTCATTTTCAACACAATTTTAATTTGGGCTTCTTTCTTTTACGACAACAAAGTGGTTATAATCATCAATGATATACTACATGTTTTTTTTAAAACTACATTTTTGGGGGCAGTGATGCCTTTCAATTCAATACCAATATAGTGTATGAATAAAAACTAATGTTTATATTCAGAAATCATTTTTTTTTTAATGGTCATATCAGGGCTGCAACTAGAAATTATTTTGCAAATCAATTAATCTGTTAATTATGTTTTTTTTAAATCGATTAATATTGGATAGCCAAAGGTTCCTTAAAGCAGGGATTTTATTAAATTTAACCAGGGAAAACAAAAACTTTTCCGCTTGAGTTCTGGATAGAGCAAATTGACAAACAAAATGTATTATTTTTTTTTTTTTTATCTTAAATGCAAAATGTTAGTTTTTTTTGTATATATATATATATATATATATATATATATATATATATATATATATATATATATATATATTTTTTTTTTTTTTACAATCTTGATATAATTACTGCTCTAAGTGTGTTACTCTGTCAGCTAGAGTCATGTTTTACAGTTTCTATTCTTCAGTTAACGATTAACCGATTACTAAATTAGTTGACGATTATTTTGATAACCGATTAATCCGATTAATTGTTTCAACCCTAGTTAATAGCAAAGTGAAATTTATACAGATACATGACATTAAAAGTATAATATACCTACATAAAGCCTTTACTTTAGTTAATTTGAATTGTTATGGCTTACAGCTAATATGAATTAAAACATTATTTAAATTAGTAAGGATAAGAAAAAGATTTTAAAAATTATGCAGGGCTTCTTTATTGCATCAGCACAATGTGGCATAGAGGGAAACACCTGTGAGTCTGCTGAGGAGCTAAGTTAGAACAGCCTAGGATCCTTCAGAATCTCTGCATTGTTCAGTCAGGTGTCTAAAAATAATCATTCTAGCCATTAAAGGGGATTTAGGTGCCATTGTCAGCGTGAGTAGGAACAAAATATTGCTGTAAAAAATATCAATGAGCTTCTTCATAAACCTAGTCAGCAGGAGGAAGAAAGAAACCTCAAAACCAATAAATAATATAGCTGTGCTGAAACACAGCAAAGAACACCAACAAATAATTTGGCTACTTAAATAAGCAGCAATTTTTGAAACTTCATTTTGGAGCTCTTGATATCTTCATCACTCTCTGACCTTAATTCCAAAATGAAGATTAAATTTTACTTTTATTTGAAAAATACATTTCTGATATTGTGTCCAGCTAGAAAGTGTTTTTCATGAGGTTATCTCAGAGTTGATTAATGTCCAAGACACATCTTTGCAGGACTCTTGGTCAAGAGAGAGCCAGGATGAATTTTAGCAGTTTACCTTATTTTATAGCTGTTCTATAATCAATAGTCTGCTGTGCAAGGGCAAAGGACCCAAAACTGAAAGATGCACTGCATCTATAACACAAATATTTTAACAATATGCTATTTTAATATTTACATTTTTCTATTAAAAAAACACACTTTGAGTTCTCATTATCTTTAAGCCTTATACCTCTAATATTAATTAAATAAAGAGCTTGAAGTGAACCTCAAATAAATTGGCTGTTCAATTTAATTCAGATTGATATTTTCAGCACCTGAAGATTCTGTCTATTTTAGGTTCTAAATTAAAACATTTTCTTATCAAACAAAAAGAAAATTTGCATTTCTAACATTGTCGCGATTTTTTTATAAAACGATCTATTGAAAATATGTTTTCATAATTATAAAAAGGTTCACTCTGGGTTTTAAAATACTGGCAAGATGGTTTGTGTGGACATAAAAACATGGTCACATTACTTTATATCCCTGTAAAAAATAAGAAATTACTGCAACCTTACCTATGCACTGGTATTTCCCACTGACATATTGCAGGTCAAACCCTTCATGGCACTTGCAGATGTAGCTTCCAAAGGTGTTGATGCACTTCCTGAACCTAGGGCACACGGCTATCCCTGCTGCACATTCGTCCACATCTAAAGGAGGAAGAAAGAAAACCCCTGGTTATCATAAATCACAAAGTACTTAAACTAATTAACCACGTTCTTCTCCTACCACCTCTAAATCTTTCTCATACACTGTATATACTGAGAAACACTCTAACCAGGGGCTATAATAACATCATGCAATGCTAATCTTCAATATTAAAAACAGAAAATTATATCTATGCTAATCTCTTTTATTCATAGTTGCAGACGCTTCGTTTTCTCTGCTTAACATTCATTTATGAACAAAGGATTTTCTTCAGTTCACAGCACAATTCACACTGCGCTATTTCATAATTTAATGTCCTATTTTAAGTGCTGCTGTTGCTTACCTTAGCAGAAATGTGGGCATATATATTAGAGCCTTCAAAAAGTTATTTTCAAAAATTACAGCTGAAAAGTATATTCATGTAGACCACATGAATAGAGTGAATATTGAGCACCCATCTTTGATTAATGTAAAACCATATACTGGCTACGCGCAAAAACAAGCTCCATGATACAGTATGTGCAAATACATACCTACTAACATTTGGTTAAATGACATTTAGTAAGCTTTAACTTAACCACCGGGTTAATGCGTCATTTTGCAGAGATTTGGTTGAATTTATGGCCTCGATTCAGTATTCTAGCACGGTCTACATGTTTCACTGCAGTGGAGATTAAGGTTTTTGGTAAGAGGTTCCAAAAAATGACCTGTTTGGCGGTATAACCTCCTAAAAAGGTTCAAATTAAGTTTGGGGTCAAAATCTTGTTGAAACACATGTCCATGTAATCATCAATTGTCCTAGTTTAGGTTTTACTTTAATGTCAAATTTAAGAATTTGATTGATTAACAGCTGTGTGTGTCCTGCATTGTTAAAGGACGCTTATTTTTTATTTATTTTTTTTTAAAGTTTTTCAAAACTTAAGTTTAAGGAGTTTTGCGTTACAAAGGAATCTAATATGAATACAAGAATACTGTTAATATGCAATGCATACGTATTTTATAGTCCAACCTGATATAGTCCAAAATAAGATAAAATTAAGGGGATTAAAACCCACCTCCTCTTCTTGCAATTTATTCTGTGCTCTAAGATTTTGTCTTTTGGACATTTTTTGGTAAGGCTTACAATGTAATTCTATACCAAAAAGAGTGAGATTTCACATCAGTCATCACCTCTATCTAAGGAAAAAGGTAAAACCTCAGTTAGGCCTATGTAATAATAATCCTAAAATGTTTCTTTAAACCTCTGTAACACCTGTGACAAGTAACCTGTCTCCGTGTCATTCCTCCTTAATTGATGTCTGCCTGAACCGCCCAGCCGTTATATAACCTGCAGTTAAAAACAGTGTTGAAAGGAACACTGGTGCAGCCTACACATTAATGCTGACACAGGTTAACTGCTTTAACCTCCCAGCACACTCTTCACACCTCGTATCTGCTAGGTTACTTATCTAAAAAGCAGAATCAAGGGATTCCCTTAAAGCAGAGGTAACCAATTAAAAAATAATCGGGGTCCCAGTACAGAAAACTATCAACCAGTAAAGGTCCAGAGACATTTTCAATTCTAATCCGTTACTTTAAACAGAATTTAACACTGAAATAAAATTAATTTTTTGTTATGGATCCATGTTATACATTGACTTTTTAAATAGAAAACATATTGTGCAAAAATGGGCCATTTTCCCATTTTAAAATCTAAAGTGTTTTTTGAAGTAGAGAACAGAAAATGTTCAGTTTGGTATATAGACAATTTCTTGATTCACATATTTTATAAAACACCTGAGCCTTGTTTTTTTCCCCCCTTCTTTTTTATGGCTTAATGAGAGCAGTTGGCTTTATGCTGCCCTGCAAGGCTTTAAACCTGGGTCTGATTGGTGACAAAGCCATTCTCAAGCACATATCAAGGTGCCCATCTGTGAGACTGAATTGATATTTATTTTTGAATATGGTGGAGAATCCTGCTTCATAGCAGGAGGTTGAGCCAAACATACTCAAAATGTGCAGGGTCATCTCTGAGCATGCCATTGCACTTTTCTTTCACCCGTTCACCATGCCTCTTCCAGCATTCTACACTTTCTTTCACATTTTCGCATCATTGTTACCCATTGCCCACAGGTTTGCCTGCTGTGTCTAAAAGCAGCTAGCGGCAACAGCCCTGACTGATACAGCTCATTGGCTAATAGAGGTGTAAATAATAATTGTTTTGTATCGATGCATCGATCCAACAGCCGACGATCCGATGCATCGACACGTCCGCAAGAGTATCGATTCATGTTTTTTTTCCCTCCGGTCTATTTTTATCCATTTGCTCCTGGGCGTAATTCTCCCTCCCGTGCTGCGGTGGCGCTAAACCTATTTTGCCCTCCTACCTCGCTTCCTGGTTATACTCTTACAGCAGTGTGTTGCAGTAAGCTTGACACAGACCTTTTTGATTTATGCTCAATATTGAAGAGTGGTCTGTGCTACACGCTGTGGGTCTAGATACGGCAGAGGCGGTGAGGAAGTGTGGGCCAGTTTAGCCCGACGACAGAGGAACACGAGGGCCAAAAAGAGCGGAGATCCAGGTGGAAAAAGTGTCCCAGCGCTCCGCGCACCTCGCTCTTCTAGCGGGTCAAACTTCACGAGTTGCTTTTCACGCTTTCGGTCATAAAAACAAAACAAGCTGGCCTCCTGTCTGCGGTCAGCTACAATTTGGGAGAGGTGCAGCGGAGCGTCTGTGGAGGGGGCGGTGACGTCTTGAGCCGAGGTATTGAATTGTACTCATTGCACTGATTTTGTGCAGTATTTTTTGAAGCAAGGCCTTTCAGAATCTATAACGTAGGGGTATTATTATTTTTCAGTGAATGAGGTTTTAATAGGAATAGGCGGAGTGTAACTTTTCTACTTCTGTTATTTTCTGTTGTTTCTAAAAAAAAATGCATAACGATATTACAGATTTCATTGATTTATTTCAAATTTGAAACATTGTCTAGCCTGTAAGGTGTAAAAAAAAAAAAAAACAATTAATCAAATCGAATCGTAACGTGGTGTATTCTTGAGTATCGAAAATAATCGAATCGTTGGGTCAGGAAATCGATACTGAATCGAATCGCCATGATGGATGTGATTTACACCCCTATTTGCTAATATGCGTCATGTGTAGTTTGGTCCCGGAGGGCTTTACCGTACAAAGAGGAAAAGCGGCGCAGGTGAAATTAGACACTGCCGTCAGACAACATTAGGGTAATTTATAAATGTTTTGAATCAGGTTGGGTCTGGATTAGCCAGCAGGTGGGTCCGCCTCCGTACTGCGGTTAGCTAACCCGTGACCTCTACCTTAAAGAATGGAGGACAAGTCTTTTTCTGCTGTAAAACCTAAAATAATTTAAGAGGAAAGTCTCTAGGATCAAGGGCTGTGCTAAACTCATGGTATCCTTAAGAACAGGAATGACAGTTCATTGAATAATACTTAAAATATGAGCAAGTTAGTTATCAGAATTTGGCAGAATTAATTCAGAAGCTATTTTTGAGGTCTGCTAATAAACAGTCAAATTAGTTAGATAGTGTTCCTGTATGATATTGAAGTTAAGATGATAGAAGTCCACTTTGGTTTTGGGCTATCTTGGGATGGCCAACTACATTATCTGGGTTTATATTGAGTAGGGATAGACTAATACAATCAGCTAGACCAGCGGTCCCCAACCACCGGGCCGTGGACCGGTACCGGTCCGTGGGTCATTTGGTACCGGGCCGCACAGAAAAAAGTATATATATATATATATATATATATATATATATATATATATATATATATATATATATATATATATATATATAGATATATAATTTATCGACGATCAGAGTCTGAGTGATGTTTTATTTTGAAAAATATAAAAAAAATTGCGGTATTCTCTCCCAATTACGTCAGTTGGTGCATCTGTGCCTCTTCACACAGGTTAATTCAGTTCAAGACTCATCCTATCTATAACATCCTATCTTTATGAAGCGGGATTTTCTGCGGTTACAGCGACCAAAACAAAGCTACGAAGCAGACTGGACATCAGGAGCGCACTTTGTCTGTCATTTTCTCCGATTACGCCTAGATGGGACCAGCTTGTTGTTCTATTTTTATATTGTTTGTATGTGATTTTATGTCAGTCGTATCATTTTTACTTGATCGTATCCCCACCCCGGCCGGTCCGTGAAAATATTGTGTGACATATAGCGGTCCGTGGTGCAAAAAAGGTTGGGGACCGCTGAGCTAGACGATACTTTAGGCCGATTGTAGTGTTTTTCATGTATCGGTATTGGCCGATACGATAAGTTCATGCGTTCTTTGATTTATTGATCTATTCAACAGCCATGTGTTGAAATCAAGTAAAGTGCATGCACTGCTGCTCCCTCCATTTACTATCCATTGTTAATGATTTGTTTGATTGTTAATAAATGTTTCATTTTGTTTAAACTAAGACCTATGTAACATTTCTTATCATTGTGCACTTTTTATAATATTAATGTAGGATAATAAAACAATATCAGTCCAATTTCTTTTGCATGTAAGATATTACCAAATTGTAATGTCTTGCGAAATTTCCTTAACAGAGTTGGTGATTATCCCTATGATATGAATACTGACAGATTTTATATAATTTTTTATAGGGAAGTTTTGACCTTTAACCTTTACTGAGACAGCATGGAAGCCAAAAGGAACCCCCACACTTTCACATCAGCTGCTCATAGACGGGAGTGGTCACATACATCTCAGTTTTCAGACCAGAAGATATATTAAGACTTGGACTCACCCACACATGTTCTTCCATCTGGAGCCAGCTGCAAGCCTGGCGACGGACACTGACATCGGACCTCTCCTTTCAGCACCTCACAGCCATACTGACAGTTGGCCATGGCGCAACTGCGAGTGTCTGATGATAAAAGAAGCACACCATATATTAACCCAAATATGTGCTACAAGGGAGTTCAAAGAGGAACAGTTTATTCTGCTCCCTCATTTCCACACATATACACACACTTCCTTTATCCTCCAGCCAATTTGTTAGAGCAGTGCCACTCGTCTGCCTTTTCTGATATTTGCCAGCTTAACCCTGGGGTGCAGCCAATAGAACAACACAAGCACTGCCATTATTAGATTCTTCTGGTGTGCAGTAGCTTTGTGCTCACACCTTAGCTGAAAGCTCCCCTCCTTTATGCCCTTTGATCCTTTCTTACACTGAGAGCCCGATTATCCATCTCCACCATATCCTTATAGCAGCATACGGCCCTGTTTCCTGTTTATTCACCCCGGGGATATCAAGACCCTGCTAAATAATAATATGATGCAGCGGAAAAGGTTCAAGCTCTCCTGATAAATTCATGTCCTAAAAAGGAAATTAAAAGCGGGGCTCATGCTGCTGCAGTGACTTTAGCTGCTTTCAGGCTCCCTGGAGTACAGTTTGATGACAGAGGCAGTCTGGGCTGATTAAATGCCACGGCGATCCATTGATCAAAGTAGCAGCAGGGGGAGTGAAGAAGAGAAGCAACGTGGTTAACACCATAACATTTCGTTACAAAAACAAAACCTAAACTAATTTCATGCAGCTCAAACTTCCCACTTAATAAAGAGAAATAATTAAGTATTTTTTCATTGAAAAGAATTTAATTTAAAAGAAGGAACATAAGTCATGTAATACTGCAGTGGGAATGAAATCAGGTGAGAAATTGCACTTACAAGAAGACATGCCCAGGCAGCGGCTCATATTAAGAGGGAAAACCTCCGGGCAGCCAATAAAAACCGTACATTCACCAGAGGGCTGGAAGACTTTCTTTTATCTTTTTCATTTTAACAACGTAAGGGCTCTTCACAGGAGGCTTTCCAAGATAGAGCGGGTATAATATTGGAGATCAACATGGGACTATAATCCAAACAACCATTCAAAGAATTACAAGGCTGCTGTCGGGAGGAATTACAAGAGCAGAAGAATTAATTTCTATCAGCAAGGGCAAACGGCTTTTAAAAATGAAGAAGCCCACATTAATAATACCAAGCAGAAGTTAACATACACTCATAATGAGGATTAATATGATCTTAGCTTTGGTCTTTCAATTATGGATTTGAGTCCCATTTTAATCAGGGTGGAATGTGCACTAGTTAGACTTTTATTGTGTTTTTCCAATGTGAATATACCCCACCAATTTTAGGATATAAAAAAAAAAGTTTTGTAAGAATTAATAAGTGCTAAGATTATTTTTATTAAATATTTTACCACATTTATATCAGAATTCAATTGTCCAGGCATATAAAACAAAAATAAATACATTTCTGGAGTCAAGCTGTTTCTTTAATGGTTTTAACCAGAAGAAGCCCTTTGTCTCCTGACTAATAAAACTATGATTATTTGCTTAACATATTTTACAAAATAAGAGGGTTTATTTTGTGTTCTTGCGTTCTAATGTTGTTATAAATTAAACTGGTTTAGAAATGAATAGAGCAACTAATATTACTCCTTTGTATAGGTCTGATTGGAATTTAAATGTAAGGAAATATGCAATTCAATTGAGTTGAACCATTTTGACAATGATCAAATATGCTTCTAGAAACCTCACAGGCAGTTACATAAAATTAGCGGCTTCTCTGCAGCTTAATAAGAGCCATTTATCAAAATAATAGTAAAGGTGTATTCATACACTCCAGCATGTACACATATTATTAAACCAATTTGCATTAGATAAAAGTACGAATTAAATTTAGTTGTTGTACACCAAGTAGTTTTTTTTATTTTTTTTGTTTTGTTTCAAGAATTAAAGTCTAGTGTTTCGTTATCAGTCCACCTTGAATAACAATTGGCACAGATAAATTATTAAAAGACTAAAACAGAAGTGACAGATTGTGTAAAAGGTAAAAGAAAAATCCACAACATCAAGACAAACAAGGTGTGGAATAACATTTTAGTGTGTGTGAAAGACTCACTTCCACAGGTCCCATCGGGCATCAGCATGTAACCATTTAGGCAGTAGCACTTGTAGCTCCCGTATGTGTTCATGCACCTGTGTTTGCAGGGTCTAGGCTTCAACCCACACTCATTCAGGTCTGCAGAAACACAAAGAAACACAAAGACATTGTAAGTGGACTAATAAATACAAGGAAAGAACCTCCTGAACAGGGATGAAATTAGGTCAGGGGCAAAGGTGATGGGGTCAGCTATGTCAAACCTACCTCCTGCATTTATGTGGGGTTAAGTGTCGTCTTTTTTTCTGCTTCCATATGCCCTAACGTGTGTCCTTTTGAAGTGTGGGCTATCTTGGAGGTAGTAAAGGTGTTACCATGTTCTAACAAGCCCTGAACTCTTCTCTTTGATGATTTACCAGGAAGTCACTGTCGACTGTCAGCAACCCCACCGCCTGCATTACACCTCCTGACTCACCATGACTTCACAAGGCAGAAGCTTCGACATCCAACACTCTGACAGTTAATAACACATTCACTGTAATTTGCAGACATGTGGGTCTGCAGAAGACAGTGGACCAACAGCCTGCAGAAGTCAGATGATGGAAGGATGTTGTCAGTTTTTCTCACAGGAAAAAGATGTCTGTTCCGACAGAAACAACTGTCAGCCTAATTCTAGCTTTTATATATTCTTAAGACTAGACATTTTTACTTGTCAACCACAGATGCAATTAGAGACATCAGGCATGTCTGCTTTTGTGGATATGCTGTTGTGTATGTGGCGTCACTTTAATAGTTTGAAGGGATCAATAAGAGTTGTGTCTTTTTGACAAGTGAACCTGTTATGAGAATAAAGGATACAGTTTCCTGCATTTCCCTCTATTACAGACACCACCTAAATTTGGTTTTCTACAAAATAGAACTCTAATCTCCTGACATTTATTGCATTTAACTGAAAAACAGGGCCAGTCAGCATATTTTTTACATGTTTAAAAATACTTTCCCTTATAAACATAATCCCTCTATATTTTTATTAAACGGTCTATGAAATAAATAAGACTATTTAGAATGTCAAAATTTTATACAAAGATAATTGCTGACATATATTCATTTATTCATATCCTAGAATGCAGTACAATTTTTCAGACATGAGGGTGATAGCCTGATGCTGCAGGACTGTTTTGCTGCTAGTTGTACTGATGCTTTGGACAAAGCAAATAAACGAAAGAAGGACTAGATTCAAATTCCTTAACTCCCTAAACCTAAATCAGCAGCTTGCATGTTGCAACTGGATTAATGTCCAAGCACACATCGAATGTGTTTTTTGCAAGAAAGAAGAGGGCAAACATATAGGTCCTTGATAAGAGTTTGCAAAGCTCTAAATTAACTTTTTTAAAATAAGAAGTGACCAATTCTGACCAACAGAACTGTGAAAAAAAAAACAAATTCTGCCACAAATTCTCAAAAGTTATTGATCACTCAAACATTTGTTACCTTAATGTAATTTTAAAAGAATATTGCAAATAAAAGAAAATAAATAGAAAAATAATAATCTTATAACTGGGGTTTATACTGCAATCCAACTCACTGTAAAGAATTTCTGAAGAAATAAGATATAAAAGATATAGCATTGACAACTATTTCTAAAACGCACCTTCCCATAGACTAAATCAATTATGTTAACTAATCATGTTTTCAATTGGTTTTACCAGAGGAGCATAGTAGCAGCTCTTTAATGATAGTGGTCTAGAATGGAGTATGTCTTCCCATTAACCCTATAGCCAATGTCTGCTGCATTGAACAGCAGTATTATCATTTACACTGGCCCTCATCATTCAAATGTTTGCTGTGGCTTGATATAGCTCTGTAGGTCATGGTGTGAGGCATCTAATTATTTCCCTCGCAGTGAATTAAATGTGGTGTGCTGTACGTTTGGACAGTCTGAATACAATCAATATTTCATGTAAGCATGACTTGAATCTTTCAGCACCATTAAAAAAAACAGAGTAAAGAGTAGCCTGCAGGCATAGAAGTCTGATACTGGTAGAACAAGTTTTCGTTTAAAATTTTACCCTGAAGCACTTTCTAAAATTAATTTTTTCTCATGAAGGACATAGCATAACCGTTGTTGAAGGATATTGCAGAATTACGGCAGATACTGGACGGTTGAACATATTAGACCAAACCACATCAGCCTTTTTTTAATACCCCAGGACTCGCTTCCTAATTTTAAAACGAAGGTGAAAGAAGTTTAAACATTTCTTCCTGCATGTTCCTCCAACAGTACAAAGACATGTACTTTAGGATAACTAGACAAAGTAAATTGCAGTAAAGTTTACATGGTAGTCTACCAGATGTCTTTCTGCTACCCTGTGATGGAGTGCTGACCTCTCCAGGAGGCAAGTACATGTAAATTTGGCATTACTGAAACAGTCACACTCTCAGACAATAGAAGAACAGTGAGCATGAGCACAAGCAAAACAAGAAACAGCCAGGATGACATATATGGAGGAAAAAAAAAAAAACAGGGCAAAGAGAGAGTGGAGAGTCGAAACAAAGCACATATAGATGGATGGAAAAACTGAGAGACAACAGGGAGACATGAACAAGAGCTTCTCTTTTAAAAGTAGCCCCAGGTGGAAAGAAACCTATACCACAGTAGAATTGGAAACTCCCTTTTGGGTGTTCACTGAATGGTAAAAGAAGTGCTGAGACACATCTGAAGCGATGCAGGGTGGATTGATTTATTGGGTCAAGCCTCACAGAGGTGTGCCATGCTGCATTCCCGACACGCCTCTACCACTGATGGAGGGATCAGCAGGAAGCTCTTTCCTGGGGAGTCATATGTCTTTACAGAAGATAAGATCAGGTAAAACAGGCCATGTTGGAGGTCCTCTGGTGAAGCCATTAGAGCTAGGACCATGCTGATACAGTGTAGATAGTCCAAAATAAACTCCACTGAACCAAAACGTTGGATAGCCAAAGCTCTTCTATTCTGAAAGTCTGTTTTAAGGGATAAGAGAGCAAAAAGAGGACTGAAATAACTGCGACATGCTCTGTGATCATGCTGGCATTTCAGCTCAATAGCAGCTCTTGGGTGGCGCTTCATCTGTCATGGACAACAGCAAGTAGCAGGAAAACAGCAGAAAGGGACTTTTATGCCCCCTCAGGTGGCTGCACCATGCATGTTGCTGGGAGGCAGCTGAGAAACAGCTGAGAGGAGGTTTAGTCGAAGAATCTCACCCTCCGTCATTACTCCCACTGGCTGATGGTCCACTGGAAGAAAGATGGGAAGGTGGCCGCCCCACGCCGGGGGGGTTAAATAGTCCAGCGTCTCTTCTTTGTGTATAAGAAAAGAGGTTAGAGGGGGAGAGGGAAAACGTGATGGATAAGGGTGTTGTACATTTTATTGACAGAAAGACTTGAAGGACAAAAGAGTAAAACAGATGCAGATCCACCTATGGATTAAAATGCCTCTGACTGCATCATGTTCTGAAATGTAAAAAGGGAATATTATTCTGAAAAGATAGTCACACAAGAAAGTTAAACATAGGAGAAACAGTACGTGTTTTAGTTTCTATTCTCCTCCAGCCTTCTACTCTCATCTGCATTTTTTTGTGGTAAGTGTGCAATACAATCTAAGAGGATAACTGTTTCCTACAAATCCAGAAGATCCATTGTTAGTGTGTGACTGGACTTTCAAAAGGAAACTTGAGTTTCCATGTAAAGAGGGAAATCAGCGGTGGACAACAAAAACACTTGAGGCTCAGGAATGACAGCCCCTCCCATATTGTTGGGCTATCGAACCATCTGTCAGTCAAGCATCGCTTCCTCTGGCAACTAACTACAGCTTTTGTTGGGTGACAGGGAGATGATACAACTCCCTTTGACTCGTTCAAGCAGTTCCCCATTGAGAGAGACGATACCCTATTAGAAGAACTTACTGTAGCAACCTTTAAGTAACACTTTTAGTGTTTAAGTTTCCCCCCCATTTATCACTTTACAACCACAGTTTGTAACCAAATAAGCTTCTCAAGCTTGAATTTTAAATTAGTTATTTTGAATATAGCTTATTATCTACCTCTTGACCAATGACAGCAGGAGAAAGGCTCCAGTCCCTTGAAGCAATCTCAGATAAGCAGGTTTAGAAAAATTAATGGATGGATATTCATTTGAGTGTTTTCAGTTGGATCTAAGTGTCAATTCTGACTTTGTACCACATGACAGAGCTTTGATCTAAGCCAATTAACTGCGGCTTTGGCTGTATGCTAAAGGTATAGTGGAAGATGAGGTTTTTCTAACTCAAACCTATAACCCAGTGAAATACGCAAAAGTTGTGATTTGAAAACACATAACAGTAATACTTAAACATGTTGCTGTACATGTGTCTCTTGCTTTTCTTTATATATTTATTTATTCACTGCATTTAAGTATGGAAAAAAAAAAAATTTAAACAATTTCCTTTACCTTCGATTAATGAGCTATTCTTCCGGCAGAAAGTTTTATGTTTCAGAATTGTCCAAAGATAGTGTCTGTGTACTGTGATTCTACTCACAGGTCTGCACATGAACTGTCAGCACATAAGGGGAAGATGGATGAAGAAAAATATGAGGCTCCCTCAAGTGAAAACTTTCCTCATCTAGTGCTGAAGGTTTTATAATTTAGTCCAGATTCTACAGGAATAATTACTGGACCTAAATGTTACTGAAAACATGATATAATGCAAAGATAATCAGGGGATTAGAACAGTTGATGAGGGATTGCTTCTCCAGGTGCAAATAATTTTCTACTCTGGCCAACAGCATATAAACAGTAAAACACAAGACTTTGAAAGTCTTGAGCAGCACAGTCAGATTTTGCACCTCCTGTCCTGGTATCATCCCTGAAAAAACAAGAAACAGGTCATATCTTGACCTTTCTTCCAACCTAGTCTTGTTTAAATGTTTCTGCAGGGAAGAATGTGCAAAACTTCAAATGGAGAAAGACGTCAAGCAGATGGGATCATGACACCGGAGGTTTAAGGCTGCTACTTCAACCAAGTCTGATAAATTATGTAAATATTTTTAGGGTTCTACATTTTATACAACCTACCATGGCACTGTGTGTATACTAATGAGAAATAATTAAAAACACACCAATCTCAAATGTTACCTTTTAAGCAGAGCTCTATAAAACTTCACTGAATGCTAGTAAGGCCGTTTAGCTATTTGAGGTTTGTAAGACATCTAAAAGTTGTAACAAGGAGTTAAGTTTAAGACTACTGCTTAAGGTCTATCAAAAAGAGCAATGCCAAAATGTTGGCCAATGGAAAAATGTCATTTTTTTTGTATATCCAGTCAATCCTCAGTCAAGACTTATTTTGCCTGAATTATCAGCTAGTGGAAATGCAAAAGTTGTAGCTTATTTCTTCAATATTTCTGTATGTAAGCTCTTTAAACTCTGACTAGTTTTCCAAGACATGTAAATGTTCCTTAAACTTCTCAATAGCACTGTAACTAAGAACCATTTGTAACTATGTGTAACTATAGTTACTATAGTAAATGTCAGCACATGGTTCTACAATAACATAACATAATGAAAAAAATCTCAATTTATTCCTCTTCTTTCATATTGAAATTACAAAAAATACATTGCAAGTCAGGTTTTTTATATCAAAAATAAGATAAATAAATCACCTTGTGGATAATAAATCAACAGCATACATTACATGAACTTTACTTTTCAAACCTAATTACTGAAAAAAAAATCAAAATTTGTGTAACATTTATATTTATTGAAAGGAACCTGTAAAATATAATTATTCCCTGTTTTACTTTGATGCACATGCATAACTATAGCGAATAAAAAAACAAATCTTTAAACAAGTGGGAGACCGCATGCTGTTGTCAAAAGACCTGCAGCTGTAACCAGGGTATGGCTGGGAAGGCAAACAGTAACACAGAAGGATCAGTTCCTAAACCAACAAAGTCCTTAAAATAAACAAAGCTCACAAAAATCCCAATATTAAGCCATTTTACAAAAACAAATATGGAAAACTATTTAAACATATGCACCACAGCCCTACTCTAACATGCCTGAAAAGCTATTAATCATACATCTAGCACGGTGACATGTGAAGTGAAGAACAGGATATCAGGAGACATTACTCCTCCAGCAAAATATTTTAATGGTGTGAAAATAGTAGGTCAGCTTCATCTAATTAAATCCACCTGGACGCAGTAATCATCTTAATAAAATACCGAGATCGATGGAGGATGCCTGCTGTTGAGCTGTTAAACAGATTAATTGACAAGTTTATTGGTGCAGCAGGACACAGACCTATTTCCTCACTGAATTATTTCACTGGAGCAATATTCCTCTGTGCTGGAGGGATGAAAACCATTCTTGGAAAAAAAAAAAAAGCTAGATTTATATTGAGCAGTGGGTATTACTGCTGACACTAGCGTAGCTAATGATTTCAGGGTGAACACAATTTCATTTACGTAAATATCCATTCAAAGAATTTTGATAAAAATCCCATTTAGTCTTTTAATGGTGTAAAACAAATCCCTTAGAACTTGACTGAACAGATTAATATTCAAGGTGTAGGGCTTGTTTTTGTCTCAACAGCAATAAATCCCCATGTGGTTTACTCCTGCCTGACATAAGCAAGGCTCCAGAGGTGTTTGACATGCTTGTTAATCAAAAAGCCTCCAGGTAGAGGCTTCTGTCCGCACTTCCCGCTCAAGACCGCAAGAAAATGTATTAAGCAGAAAACCTTTGTGTAGCTCCAAGTTATGTACACAGATTCTACTTTAGAAGATTTAATTGCCCTACTATTTCTCGACTGGAAACTTTAGTGTTTTATTTCACCAGTTATTCAAACACATGAAATGACCTTTTTAGCTGAACAGCTACAAAATTGATGGATGATCTGGAGGAGGACAGAAGTCTCAAATGGCTTTGTAATTATTGGCTTTCAAGGGGATCATGAAACTAAAATAATGCAACAGCTTAAGATCTGTAAAAAAAATCTTTGCATTTATCCCCATGTCATTATTAATAATATGCTAGCTCTAAAGGAAGGCAAATGGATACGGAGACACTGTGTATCCTCTAGTATGGTGAAGTACAGGTATACTACAGAGGTCGCTAATGTAAGTGTACTCCAAGCTGGTCACATAATTTAATGCCTTGCTACCCATCCTATTGTCTCCAAACAGTTGTTTGAAATTGCAATTTTGTGCAACTTGATTTTACAGTGACAATTACAAATAAATATTTTGCTCCTTACTCATTTCAAATATCCTGTATCTGTGCTCAGGGCCCCCAAATGGTTAGCGTCACCCCAATCATACCTTTTATTTTAAAAATGTCTATGTCACAGTTTCCCATTTGGATGTATTAATTGCAGCATTTGGAGTCTGACCTTTGTGTCCTTGTGTAGTGGAGGACTGTTCTGAGCTCTGCTGTTATCGTTCAACTCTGCTCCAATTTTTAGAGCAGTAGACATCACAGCCATGAACATTTATTACCTCACACATTGGAAATGCCTACAGTCACATGCACGTACAGAGAGTGTGGTTAAGCTACAAAGAATTAAGCAGTAACGGTACTAAAGTACAGTTGTTTACCAGTCCACTGCTCAGGTTCAGGTTCGCTCTGATTATTGTAATGGTGGAGCACGGCATTTTTCATTTTAGTGGCAGGGCTTTTGCTATTAAGCAAACTGATAACAAAACAGCAAAAGATGGTGCACATTGGGTAAATTAGAGTTTATTTAGTCTTTTTTTTTATGTAATGCAGAAGATGATAACAGAAGGAACTGTTTTTCATCCGATCCTAGCAAAGGGTAAGCTGCTTCTGCTTGTGACTTCTGTTTGTTGACAGTCTAGACTTCCCAAAACAGTCATTCCATCTTGAGTTGAAGAATCTTTTTTTGTTTTTTTTATACTTATTTGCTAGCGTTTGGCAATTGTATGTTTTACTCTATTCTTAACATACTTATTTTCTTTAATTGTTATGTTGTCTAAAAATACTTGTTAAATACCCTGGTTTATTTAAGAGTGCTTTATAAATAAATTCACACTGCTTTACCTTTAACTGTATTTGGATCCCATTTGTAGTATACATGCTCTGAATAGTTGGAAACAAGTTATATAAGAACATAGGGTGCAGATCCTTTTTCCTTTTCCCTTTTGTTCTAGATTAGGACAAAGTAGAGTCGTCTGGGACGGCAGACAGGAGCCGCCAATAGCCTCGAAACACAGGATGAGTCATTAGGAACATTCCGGAAAGGATTTTCAACAGGCCCACTGCCTCCTTCTCCCTTGTTTTTAATTACACACTATCCTTTTCCCGTTTCAGGGCATGAATTCCACAGGTAATTTAAAGCTGCTTGGACGCACGTCAACAAGCAACTTACCTTGGAGCCTCAATGGTTTTAAAACATGTCCAAATTGCCAATACCCACCCCGAAACACTAACAAACAGAATCACTTTAGATAACATCTATTGTACTTAGTCAGGCCAAGTATCACACAGCAGTAATTGAGATCCTATCTTCATAGGGTAGGATGCGTTCAACATGGCCCACTCTCATTTTACATTTGTGCTGAATCAGCCCTCTGCTCTTCTTCCTCTGTGATTAAAGCTTCTAACTCCTGTCAGCTAAAGGAAAACCAGTTTAGGCTCCAACTCTGACCATGAGGCACAATGATTATACTGCTGTTTCACTAGGGCTGGGATTGCCCTTCTGTTAAACTGCTTGTGAAATATAACCATGCCATTAGTTTCGTAGAGAAGTATTGATTCTTTTCTCTTTACAGAAACAAACGCTGTTGCATTGAATTTAGATATTACTTAATATACAAAAGATAATTTGTATTGAAAAGTAAAAAGAAATTGATTTAAAAGGGTTTTCATTTTATTTTTTACAAAAAAAGAAAATAGTTTGCCCATTCTGTTTGCTCAAGCCTAATCAGATTAGACTAAGAGGGTATAATCATATATCACAGATATGTTTGATCTGTTTAGACTGATGAGCTAAGGTAGTGTACCATCAGCAATTGTTTTGTTGGAAAAGAAAAGTCTTACGGATTTGAAGATAAACTAAGTTTGACTTAATTATTTGCAAATTATAATCTAACATAAAGTAAGAGCTAAGGGACATATTCTTTATTGATATTTAGAATAATTTTACTTTTTGTGCTTTATCTAAAAAATAAAATTAATTCAACTAAATTCTCTGATATAACTGTTTTTGGAATATATAATTTGTTTACTAATTAGACAACATCTTAATGTAACTGTGTACTCTTTTATCAACTATCTTATTGACTAGGCTTCATGTTTACTTTGTGTTTATCCTGTACATAAAATATAATAAAATATATGTTGATGACTGTGATTGTAATGTGACTAAATTAGAAAGGACTCAAATGTTTAACAAAGTTTGCAAGACGTGCATTTATTTATTTATTTATTGTGTGGAAGATCACCTTTATGGTAGCAGACTCTTCCTGCTGAGGAGACTCAGGTCTTTTGGAGTGCAGGAGGCACTCCTAAAGACCTTCTATGACTGCTGTAGCATCAGCAATCTTCTATGGATTTGTCTGTTGGAGCATTGCATGCCCTATAGACTCAGTGCAGGAGGTGGGAAACAAAAGGACTAACTAAATGAACATCTCTGCTGGATAATATCTCCCATCCCATGCATCAATCTGTTGCAGAACTGAGAGCTCCTTTAGTGACAGACTGCTGCACCCTAAATGCACCAAGGAGCGTTATCACAGATCCTTCCTTCCAGCAGCTGTAGGACTCTATAACCACCACTGTTCCCAACAACCTCAATAAGTTGTTACATTCATGCTGAATTTGCACAGTTTCTACCTCAGTCAGTTAAATAACATGCTGCTGTAGTTTTGCACATCTCTGATATGCACATCTTAAATATCTATTATGGTGAAGATGTCCATAGCTGTATATTGGTTATTTATCCTCCAGGTGCACTGTTGTATATTGTTAAAACACTTTGCATTACAGTATATTATTGTTTATCTTTTAACTCTTCACTATTATGTTATTCTTATAAATTTTTCTAATGTTCAAATTTGCGTGACCATTTTTTTCTACAATCTTTTTGCAGCTGTAAACACCAGAATTTCCACATTGTGGGACAATAAATTAATTTTCTATTCTATTCTAGAAATTGGGATTAACTTTCCCTTTTTAGTGCCTTTATAGAAATAAACCAATATCAATGCAGCATCTGAGAATTCACCTTGATTGCAGGTCTTGCCAGTGAAGCCTGGATGGCACTTGCACTTGTTGGGTCCCACACACTCTCCATGCTTACAGCCAGGCTGGCACACAGCTGTTTAAAGAGGATTGAGAGAAGACAAGGCAGATCAGTGCAGAATCCCAGCAGAAAACTTGTACCAGATCAGGCTGGAGAAGCACATAATCTTGCACATAATCCTTTTTTTACTTCCAGCACTCCATCTGACTTTAAATGATCTGTTACTTTCATAGCTTCTATAGTAACAGAGCACCATGACTCATTCATACAGGAAATGTGCCTGTTTAGTTTCTTCTTGTGTGATGGTGTCATTACTATTTTTACCACTGGAATGTGGAAATCATTTCAAACCAATCCAACGTATGTGACAGCTTTTCTAGCTACTCTTAGGGAAACAAGTAATCACTCCCTTCAGGTAAGGTGAGAAATTTAACCTTTTAAGAACAAATATCACATCCATTTGCTGGTACAAAGTTGATTGATTACCTCATCACTCACATTTACACTGGTACACTGGTAAAAAGCTAAAAAGAAATAATCAAGGATGATATTTCATTATGAGACAGAAGCTGAAACAGTTAAAGTACCCAAATAGAATCTTTTAATTTGTTCTTTGTGTTGACCTACAGTACAGATTTAATATTGTGCATATGGGTAAATAATTCAAGTCTGAACAAAAATTAAGCCTTGACGCTTCAATGATTCAGTGGTTTATCTCAGTGAGCTGGAGGCTTGCCCTGCTTATCTGTCTGCACTCACTGCAGTCACTGCCGAGCACGTCGGATAGAGCCAAGTGGTGCTAATTTTCATTAAGAAGCCCCATTAATTATGTCATAAAAGGCACCCATTAGGCGATTCAATTGTCGCTGTTGTAAAAGAGTCAGTAAATATTATTGTGAGCAAAAGAATAAGAGAAGGGACAGCAGTTTCATTTTTTGAAATTTCTAGTGTATCTAAAAAAGTAAATTTGGTGTATGCAAAGAAATTTGGTGTATGCAAAATGATTTTCTGAGTGTCCTCTTGAATAACACAAGCATTTGTTAAAATCAAGCTGGTACATGTATGTCTATTGTTTTGTTTCTTGTGTTTATCAGGAGGGCCTTCAGTCTTACAGCTCAGAAACCACTTAGACATTTCCATACAGCTAAAGTAGATGCTCAGAATTCAAAGAGTGCAGCATTTAAAATAATCAATGGCTTTTGTTGATGTGTTTTTTATTTTAGGTTGAACAACCACACAAATTACAGGTGTTGTTCTTTTTTTTTTTATCACTGTTTAGTTCCACCCTTCCCTTTTTTTTTTTTTTTTTAAACAGACCATTAAAAAAAACTGAATTTCAGCTGTCTCTAAAGGAAAGAAAGTAGCTGTAACACATTAGTCTGTACTGGCAGAACTAACAACATCAGCCACTGTTTGCCTTTCTTAACTGCTTAAGATTCAGTCCAATAAGTAAATTGGTCTGATTTTAATGGCTTATTAATTCAGACATTTATATTAATGAATTAAATTATCATCAAATATCTATCATTAGTTATATCTGAATTATTTAGGCATTAATATGTAGCCAATGCGAGTCATTTTATAGACCTAATGCTAGATTATTTTCTATGATTAAACTTTTTATCACTACATATAGTTGGTATTAAATGTTCTGTGGTAGATGGTTCCTTTATGCACTTAAACATGTCCATTTTAAAACAGCAACCAAAAGCTGACAGATGACAGCAGAGCACAGTTCATAAAATAGCTATGATAAAATACCTAATTGAAGTCAGCAGCCGGAAGGGTTGCTTTCTCTAACCTTTTTTTTTTTTTTATATTTGGTGGAGTTTTGCCTTTATTTAGCCATGTTTGGACTAGTATTATTTTTGAACTTTGCTTTGATATATGCTTAAGGCTTAATCCCTTCTGCCAACATGTAATTTTCGAATTTCTTCTTCTTATGTTCAAAATGGTATTGGCAACTTTGGTAGTGAGGGTTCATCTAATTACCATATATATAGTAAATAGAAGATAGTGAATGAAAATATCCTTGTGTACCATCATCTGTTATTGATACAGTCATTTGTGATATATTAAATGAACAGACAAATAATTTAATTATCAAATGATATCAATAACATTTCTTTTAGCCCTTTCTACTAAAATATTTTTAATTAAATTTAGTCTATTTATATCACAATAATTCACAACATGCCATCTCATGCCCCTTGAGGTGACATGTTGTGATTTGGCACTACATACAGTTAGAATTCATTGTCATTTGCCATTTTAAACTCTTCTCAAAGATTTTCACAATACATTTCTATGCATTACTTTTCGGTACTGAATATGTTACTCGAACCCCCACACTCAAGCAATTACTTACATTATTTGTACTGACAAAGAAGCATTAATTTTTCAAAAGGCGCAGAGGGATGAGAAGAGTCCTTAAACTGGAATAGACAACATCTTTAGACTCATTCAACTTTATTGAGCTATGCAATCACATATAAGGATGGCTTTCTTAACCCGGTTTGAGAACTCAGTGAAACGAGCATGGATGTTCACACCCGGCACTAAGAGCTACAAATTAAAAAAAGGGTAATTGACAGGAGGAAATGAGAGGTTTTATGCAGGAAGCATTAGTTTATCAGACCCTAGCTTGGTTCAAACATAAAAGCAAAGAGGCGAGGTTTTAGTTACACTACTACCCTTTGATGTACTTTAGGTGAATTTTCACTTAATAGATGATGGAAGGATTTGATTAAACATCGACAGGGTTTAACTTAGAGGGCATTTTATAACCTCTGGTCTGTAAGAGAGCTCAGGGAAATGTCCAGTGCTCATTAACCAAAGCAAATGACAAGGAGGACTAAAAATGGCAATGCCAGCTGGAAGAACAAACATAGCAGGTAGGATCCAAGTTTCATGTACACCATTATGACAGTTGGACTGATAACACACATTCACTGCATCAGTCTTTTATTGGAACAAACAAGAAAATGAGAATAACTGTCAAAGTCAAGGATTTTTCTGGTAATGAATATGTAGAAAATATGTCAAGAGCTTGAGTCGTGTGTTGTTTTAATCATTTAATGAGGCATAATCTCATCAGTCATCAGCATATCATACGAATAGTTGCAGTTGATATCAAAAGTCATATATTTAATTCACATAACCTTGTGAATTTTCCTTTTTTGTATTGAAACATTTTTAAAACAAGGTGGATCTTATACCTTTGGGATGACCCTGAGCTCAAAATAATATTTTTTGCAATATTCTTCATCAAATCGTATACAAAAAAACCAAGGTACCGCAAGAACGTATGCCATATTTCCAACATATTCCTGTGTTACGCACATTATGAGCAAAGGAACATAAGACCAACAGCAAAGGATGGTGGACGCATTATGTTATTGTGCAGGTTTTCTATAGCTGAAGCTGCTGCCTTAGTTCAGATTAAAAGAACTTGACCATATTTAAATACCAGTAAGTGTTGGAATAAAAACATTCAGGCTTTGGCTAGACAGCTAAAGATTATGAGGGACTTTTTTTTTTTGCATGACATCTACTTAAAGAAAACATCTTAATAAAAAAAATGTCTTTGCCAAAGGATAAGCACCCAGAGAGCCCTAATCAGACGCAGACATCTGTTGGGGGATCTGCCTTGTCAAAGAAGAGTGAGTGAATATTTCCGAGTCATGGTGCGCCATGCTGGCAGAGTCCCAGCAGGATACATGCTAGAAATCTATCAGAAAAAAAAACAAACCTCTTGAGCGAATAAAACATTTTGATAAAAATTGCTGTAAGAAGATTTAAATGTCCTTTAACAAAGCTTTAGCTTTGAACATTTATGAAGTAGCATCATTTTGTTTTTTTTTATGTTTTTCGATTTCCACTTACAAAAAATTGTTTTTTTTCTAGTCATGCAGGTTTTATGGTATTTTAAACGTGGAAAATGTTCTGAAAACCATTACCTTGGTTTTATCCTTTTCAACAAAGCATGGAAATTTAACAGTGGTGCTCATACTTTTATTGACCACGATAATTATTAATATTTAAGAGAAATGTGAAATTTAAAGTTAACAAAATTACAACATTTGAGACACAGCAAACAGGAATATTTTCGCTTAATAAATCATAAAGTATTGATGACAAAAAAAATTTTTTTATAATTTTTTTATAACCCATGTTAAATGTAATTATTTGAAGGGGACCCTTATAAAACATTTTTATTTTAAAAAAGCTGCCATTAAGAGGTCTCTAGTGCTGCTTAGTTACTGAGAGAGAATACAGGAGTGATGTGGGAACAGACCTGGGACAGGTTTTATTTTTTATGGACAGCTATTGAAGTTTTCCTTACATACAGCTACAGTATGCCTTTATGTTTTGGTTTGCAGATTTTTGCTTTAACCCTCATAGGGATGGTGTTGGCTTATTTGAGATTCCTAAAGCTCCTGAGCTGCTTTCAAAGTGGTTGAAGCAGGTCAGATGAGATCAGGAGAAGTTAAAAAACTCCATGGTGTCTATCTGTACTCAAAACATTTGGAGAATTACATTTTTTAAATTAATTTTGTTCCCTAATTGAAAGAGTTGCTTGCTTACTTAGTAAATCTGTAACGCATGATGCTGCCAACACCCGTAGGGTGTCATCCTCCAGCTCAGGATCTGGCAGGGTCCGCTCTGGATAGTTATCTTTAAGGTATGATGTTTCCTTTTTCCTCAGCATCACTTCCTGAGCTTAAACTAGCTGGTGGTTCAACCACACAAGCCAATTCCAGATGAGATGTTCTGGAACAATCATTACCGTTTCCATTTATCTCCATTATAGAACATTGAGCTAGCTTTAAAAGTGTTCACCCTCTGAAGTCAGCACACAGAAATAGGGTTTTGCTAGCTATTAATTAGAGTGCTGAAGTGGAGCAAATAAATGTAGGATATTTGTGTTGAAAATAAGCCTGTTTGATTCATAATAACTCAGAACCACCTGGTAAGTCTTTCTGCATGATTTTAAAGCACTTGCGTGAAATTAATTAGATGAAATCAACAATCATTCTCTTAATTCTGATTTCTGTCATACACAGATCTAGTATGATGTCTCTTCAATAAACTCAGTATGAATTAAATAACTATATCATGGTTTATGCTGTTGGAATCAGATTAATATCCAATCAGGCTGACCAGACAAGCAATTATACATGAATAAGCCCCTTAAGAACAGTCATTATTTATTACATAGAGGTTTTAAACTAAATGTGGCTTGCAAAGTTAAATTATTTGCATAATGTTGGTTGCTGCCAAAAGGAATGAGGTGTTACTTGGTGCTGCAAGGAGGGGGATGGTATGCTATAAATAAATGAATGAGTTCATGATTCAGAGGATGTGCCCCCAGCATTGCATGTCTAGTTAGGTTATTGCAAAAAAAACATGTGTGAAGCTAACCTTGGGGCCGGCACCTTATCCCGACTACTCTGTGAGTTAAGGCGAAGAAAGCTGCAAAACAAGTAGCCATACACAGAAAAAATGAGGGGCATTGTTTAGTATGGGGGAGAACATAACAAACAAGCAAAAACAAGCTTAAAAAAAGCAAATTCTGGACAATTTATGCACAAGCAAACATACCTGGGGAAAAACACACATGCACAGTTTGGAGTTCTGGAGTCACACATATATCATGTTTTTTCACAATGGGTCATTAGGACACCAACAATTACAAGAATAAATGGAGTAATCACAGAGAGAGAGATAGATAGATAGATAGATAGATAGATAGATAGATAGATAGATAGATAGATAGATAGATAGATAGATAGATAGATAGATAGATAGATAGATAGATAGATAGATAGATAGATAGATAGATAGATAGATAGATAGATAGATAGATAGATAGATAGATAGATAGATAGATAGATAGATAGATAGATAGATAGATAGATAGACTATAATGCCAAAAGTATTTGCTCACCCATCCAAATTATTGGAATCAGGTGTTCCAATCACTTCCATGGCCACAGGTGTATAAATTCAAGCACCTAGGCATGCAGACTGTTTTTACAAACATTTGTGAAAGAATGGGTCGCTCTCAGGAGCTCAGTGAATTCCAGCGTGGAACTGTGATAGGATGCCACCTGTGCAACAAATCCAGTCGTGAAATTTCCTCGCTCCTAAATATTACACAGTCAACTGTCAGCTGTATTATAAGAAAATGGAAGTGTTTGGGAACGACAGCAACTCAGCCACGAAGAGGTAGGCCACGTAAACTGACGGAGCGGGGTCAGCGGATGCTGACGCGCATAGTGCGAAGAGGTCGCCAACTTTCTGCAGAGTCAATCACTACAGACCTCCAAACTTCATGTGGCCTTCAGATTAGCTCAAGAACAGTGCGCAGAGAGCTTCATGGAATGGGTTTCCATGGTCGAGCAGCTGCATCCAAGCCATACATCACCAAGTGCAATGCAAAGCGTCGGATGCGGTGGTGTAAAGCACGCCGCCACTGGACTCTAGAGCAGTGGAGACGCGTTCTCTGGAGTGACGAATCGCGCTTCTCCATCTGGCAATCTGATGGACGGGTCTGGGTTTGGCGGTTGCCAGGAGAACGGTACTTGTCTGACTGCATTGTGCCAAGTGTAAAGTTTGGTGGAGGGGGGATTATGGTGTGAGGTTGTTTTTCAGGAGCTGGGCTTGGCCCCTTAGTTCCAGTGAAAGGAACTCTGAATGCTTCAGCATACCAAGACATTTTGGACAATTCCATGCTCCCAACTTTGTGGGAACAGTTTGGAGCTGGCCCCTTCCTCTTCCAACATGACTGTGCACCAGTGCACAAAGCAAGGTCCATAAAGACATGGATGACAGAGTCTGGTGTGGATGAACTTGACTGGCCTGCACAGAGTCCTGACCTCAACCCGATAGAACACCTTTGGGATGAATTAGAGCGGAGACTGAGAGCCAGGCCTTCTCGTCCAACATCAGTGTGTGACCTCACAAATGCGCTTTTGGAAGAATGGTCAAAAATTCCCATAAACACACTCCTAAACCTTGTGGACAGCCTTCCCAGAAGAGTTGAAGCTGTTCTAGCTGCAAAGGGTGGACCGACGTCATATTGAACCCTATGGATTAGGAACGGGATGTCACTTAAGCTCATATGTGAGTCAAGGCAGGTGAGCAAATACTTTTGGCAATATAGTGTAGATAGATAGATAGATAGATAGATAGATAGATAGATAGATAGATAGATAGATAGATAGATAGATAGATAGATAGATAGATAGATAGATAGATAGATAGATAGATAGATAGATAGATAGATAGATAGATAGATAGATAGATAGATAGATAGATAGATAGATAGATAGATAGATAGATAGATAGATAGATAGATAGGCTTAAGAAAACTTTGCATCTGTGGGTTTATTAGTGGTTCAGAGAATTTCTAAAACAAGGACAGACAGATGTGTCAGTTATCAAACCTCTTTTTTGGAACAAACTACCAGTTTTCGACAGTGAGGTAGACACTCTGTCTACTTTTAAGAAAACTGTCAGTTTTTATAAGCTTATAGTTAGAGTGATTCAGGTTATCATGAGCTAACTCTATAGCAATGCTATTATAGGTTTTAACTGCTGGAGGACATACAAATCACTTTTGCATTATTTGTTTGTTCAACCCCTAATGTTGTGGCCTGTCTGCTTTTTATCACCACAGTGGCTTAATCATTTGTGGTAGTCTGTTTAGCTGTGATACAATTCTGGAGGTATATGGGCCTGTTTTTTCATGCTTAGTCCTATTACGGTACTCTCCTGGATGTAGCTATAGGTTCAATTTTTACTATTACTAACTGTATGTGCGCTCTTTCTTTTTGAAATGATAAATGGCTCAGAGCTCATCTGTATAGCAGTCTTTCCTAGACAGAGCTACCTTTGGAACTGGTTACCATTATAGTTTCTAACAAAGAAGGTATTTATAGATCAGTACCTCTATGGTCCTTTTTGTTCACCTGCATCTATCCTCTTGAAACTTAGTTGACTTTGGCAGAAGGCCGCTCCATCTGAGCCTGGATCTGCTGGAGGTTTCTTTCTGTTGAGAAGGTTCTTTTTTTCCTCCACAATCCCTGCATGTATACTCGGTGTGAGGGATTGCTGCAGAGTGAATGACAATGCAAACAAATGTCTACTCTTGCCTTATGCTCATCCAGGAGGAGCAAATCCTGCAAAGTTAATGACTTGATGCAATCAAGTAGGTTTCAAATTTATGAAGAAAGCAGATGTACAGTAGCACTTATTAAAGTTGAATACTATACAAGTGAAATATTTAAGTTCAAACATAATGCTCCATTCAACTGGTAACAAATACATGATTATGATATATTTTCCCTCTAATTTAGTCAGTAACAGTGATGCTTTGAAGTACATGCTAAGCTCCCTTTCACTGTATACTTATCCTCCACTGATAGGCATCTCTTTTTAAAAGGGACTTTTATAGCCCAGTAATAATGATACTAAGGAGCAAAGAGAAAGAAACTACTCAGAAAAATCATGATCAAAGAATTAAATCGTGGTTTCAGTTCTCCTCTCACTGCTCGTTGGCTCACATTACCAATTCAAAAGTATTGCTTTAATCCGGACCACAACATCCAGAGAAACAAAGCCTGCCCTCAATCAAACTAAGTCCTGGTCTCCAGGGATTTTCAAAGTCCACCCGAACCTCTGGGGAAATTATAACATCTGCTGTATTTAATATGGAGAATGTGTTCATTCAGTTCTTTCACACAGCAAAGGAAGTTAATGTATTTTTTTATCTTTCTGGTGGGCAGGGAAAATTCAAATGAAAAAGTGAAGGTGTAATTAACTCTGACATCAGAAATTTGACAAATAATATAGATATCCTGGCATAGGTACAACAACCAGCTACAATTTATTCTGGATGTCATTCATATTCTCCTTTGGTTTTTATTTCTTTCAATATATTTTGATAAAAGCATCATAAACATTTTACCGCTGAATTCTTACAATGCTAGAATCAACACATTATTTTACAACAAAATGTAAATATTGCAGGTGCAGGGACAAGGGGGGGCACTGTTATTTATTATCATTGAATGCAGAAATAGTATTTCTATGTGTCTCAGCAATTAGCATAGATGGTCACGTAGGTGCATAAGGAACATACAGAGTGGGAAGATCACTGCGTTTTCCACAAAGCTCCATTATTTCAAAGACTAACTCTAGGCACTGATTTGTCTTTTCCCCGATGATGTAAATATATTGTATTTATCCATAAATACAGGCCATGTAGGGAAAACGGAAAAGGTTTCTTGTTTCTATGAGATGCATAACTGTGATAAAATATGTGTATATTAGGTTGTTAATATGTTTAAAAATTAAGTCCTTCCTTATGCTTCAATTGGGTGGTTTTTTCAGTCGTATTATGATTCTTATATTTGACAAGACTGCAATGGAAACACTTTTTTTCCCCGCATCACACTAGCCAAAGGACCTGCAGCTGGACAGTGCTGCTTTGTAAAACGTTGAAGATGATGACTGGAAGTAGTGGAGGGATGATGTCACCCACTAGAGCCGTGGCTGAAATATGTATACATCTCATGTGTTTACATCTAAGTTATCATCTAAACAAAGTATTCATGTGCAAATTTAATAGTATTTGTTATTTAATGGAAACACTACAACACTATTTCACATTCTCAAATTTAGCAGAATATCAATACAGTTTTGAACACATTTGTAATGTAAATGCAGCTTAGCTCTCTTTGTTGCTTTAACTGGAATCAGTTCTTAATCAGTTTTTAAAATGAAGAGCAGTGATTGTTTTCTTTTGCTGTGTTTGAACATTTTGGAGAATTGTGAAAGTTTATAAGTTGTTCTTTTCTGACGTGGGTCCCTCTCCAAGTTCAAAGCTGTTACAGGTGGCTAAGTCCTCAGTCAGCTGTCCAATTCAAACTGCAGTGAGACCCACTCCAACCATCTTCCGAATGCAAAATGTATTTTGAAAATAAAAAAGCTGCAACTAGTTTATCCTATCCCAGTTAGAGCAGGAAGTCTTTGTCTAAAATTTATATTTCTGTATTTCTATTGTCCAATTTTGGTTTATGCAAGTTAGTAAAGTTGACAGTTCATAAAAGTTAAATAACTATTGTAATTTATCTTCTTATAGAAAACTAAATGAATCAAACGCTTAAAGACAAAACGCAAAAGATATCCATAAAACTTTCATCATCAGGGGGAACTGAGCTTTCTGACATTATTTGGTTTTGATCATTTTGATTCTGATGTTAACCTGTATAATCATTGTGTTATTAGTTTCATAACTTCTGTATGTTCCTCTACCTGGGTGGGTGGATGAGGATCCCACTTCGATCCTCTCTTAGATTAGAATCTTTTTTTATTAAAACATTTGGTTTTACTTTATTTTAACAAGCTATCCTGCTTTTTTATACTACATGAGTTGGTGTGTAGCCCTGAGGTGTTGTAGTTACACAAAGCAGGTCAAAAAGCCCATACTTCATCTATCTATAGAAATAATTACAAATGAACAAAAAAAGTTTAATAATGTTATCTCAACAGTAATACAGCTTCAGCTCTATGTCACAGAGGTTTAGGTTTCAATAGAAATGGGCTTAAGTGTGCAAATAGTCTAATACTTCATGTGACAAAAAGATGTGATGACATTTGGTAAGAAAAGAGCTTCAACTGTGGCTCATCCTTACTTATAGTCTGTCATAATGTCATGAATGAAGTCTTTGCCAAATCTGAAAGCTCTACGCTCTCTTGCTCTCTCTCTGCCTGATTTCCAGACATTGTTCCCCTAACACAAGAGCAATAATTTCTCAGTGTCTAACCTCTGAACTATTTCCCATTTTTTCCCCTGTTTTTTATTTATTAAACTTTATCTATCTACGCAATACTCTAATAGCTAAGGACAAACAAATCGTCACTGATCCATTAAGTTTTTTATTCTTTGAGAAAAGTTGCAGAAAACTAATTCCTGGGTTCTCTGGCTGAAAGCCACAATCCCACTGCTCCAATCGAATCTCTTTCATCTCCACTAAAATCTTCCAGTACCTAAAATCTTTGATGACTGCAACCTCTCAGACACATGCAGGCAAACACACACAGGTCGCTGATTACACTCGCTCTCTTTCCAATACCTTCCAGCTCAGCCGTCTAAAGCTTAAATCAGCACCTTGCTGACTTGATGGAATGCTGATTGTGAGTGAATGGATTTGAGCTGTACCCGGCGAGGAGCATTTGGAAGCATTAAGGAGAGCACTCATCCAGTGATTTTACTCAAAGAGGGAGAAAAGTGATAAGAGCAGAAGATCTGTTTTTAAGCTCCAAATCAACTATGTTCTGCTCAACATTGAACATGTGGGACTCCAGAATAACCAAGAAAACATGCACACATACTTCTGTTTGGCTGCGTGTTGCAGATCGTCTTTAATGCACTTGATTATCCAAGAAATCTCACCTCTTGTGAATCAAAGGTGACATTTCTTAGCTTTCTTGAAAGAAAACAATTTGAGTTTTTTTTTTTCCAACCTAGTGATACAGTACATATTAAAATTTGACTTCACTTTCCCTCCAAAAATGAACAGATCTTAATCTTGCCATGTGAGCCAAGGTAAATAATGCATTTTTTTCTACCATGAATTTTCTGAGCATGAGATGCTGTGAAGGCAAAGAGCCCAGTGCGTGTCACTGGGAGGTTCTGGGCACTGAGAAGACTGCCTTGAGCCAGCATTACTGTTGGGTCTGGCTCAAACGGTGCAACTTTTGCCATTATATTTTAGCACCGAATTACAATCAAAGATGATTAGATGAGAAATCTGGTCATGTTAAAACAAAAGAAGAAAATCTTCCCCTCACGCTATAAAATAAATGTTGTAATTAAAACAATTTGCTTCATAGGCTGGCTTCACTTGTTGGACTAAGAATAATATTAACATATTTTGCTCTGACAGACCTGAGAATAGATATGAGGGATGCCTCACAGGTTAATGTGACTGAAATAAACTATGGGGCCATGAAATTAAACACTATTTGTATCCGATATAGTAATAAATCACTCCAAGATCAAGTAAAAAAGCTACCACTCTGACACTTTATCATAAAAATGTAGCTGCTACACTCAAAAGTTTTAGCATTGTACTGTTGAATCTTTTGCCAAAAAAGGAAAAAATGAAATAAATGTTTAACAAAAAGGGCGGTTTTACAATATAATATAATACAGCAGGAAGATTTCCATCATATGAAGACAAGCTAATATTTCAGCATTGGGAAAAAAAGAGAAACAACAGCATGGCTTATAAGTTAAAGAGTGCAGAAATGTATCATGCATTTTTACATGCAAAGATAAAGACCATTCAGGCCTTTTCCACAGCAGGAACATAACAACTAGAACTTGTAAATGCTCTACCTCACCTCCTGGGTTTGGATTCAATTTGATTCTACGATGCATTGCGATGCATTGCAATGCATCAAAATCCCATTGACTTCATAAAATCCGAAATGTGCCCAGATATCCGCTTTCCAAGCTTTTGGTGCGTTTTTAATTAGGCCTAACCATCTATCGCGGTCATCTCCCTCCGCCTCAGCCATGTTGATTGTTGTTGGTATGCCCCCGGAAGTAATTGAAACTTCACAACTTGTCCATTTGAGGCCAGAAAATAAACAATGACATAATCGATTATGGCACGTTGCCGCATCGATGCTGAATCGTGCATGCCCAGCATTGCAATGCATCGCTGAATCGATTATTGTTGACACCCCTAGAATCCATTCAATTTCACAAGTTAACTTTTTGGTTTTGGTCTCAATGAAAAATAATAATACACAGATATCCCAAAGTGAAGCAAAAAAGTTTAGAAACTTTTTCAAAGATGACTTTAATTAAAAATCCCAAATTAACACAGCAAAGACAACTTCTTAATGTAGCCATGACATCCAAAAGGCCAGTTTTAAAATGGAAAAAAGAACTGAATTTTAAGAGCACACATTTTATATATTCATTAATCATATCTTAGAATGTACTTATTTTCTATATATATATACATTCAAATGTAATTATTTAACAAGTCCCTCTCTTCCCCATGGGTTAGACTCGCACTTGTGGCAAGTGTAAAAATCACCTCCAGCTGAGCAATCTTTATGTGCTCAGGATTGGAGCCACACTTCCCTGGATTTTCTGTCAGCATTTAGAGAACACCATATGCTAGCTAGGTAAAGAAATTTGAGCACATGCAAACTCTGTATCTTAGAAGTCTTCTAGTCTCACCTGGAATTTTGTATGGGCGCAGTATGGGGGGCAAACATGCACAAAAAATAAGTGCATCGGCCTGATTTGCAGTATAACAGTGACTTTTTTTAGCACAAGGACCTAAAATGCTTTAACATCTGTAAAATACTTTATTTTCGATAAATCTGAAAGACTATCTTAATGTGCCTTCTGTCCTGTTGCTTATGGGGAAAGAATGTTTCTGGTTTGAGAAAAAAAAAAGATGTGTTGCAACTGTTCGCAGTCTCCCCTATTCATGAATTAATTCTTTTGTGTTTTACTGCATTTCCTTTCTGTACATTGTTACTGATATGGCTTCTGCATGATTTGCTCGCTATGTTAAGAACCTTGAGAGAAACTACTTGTCTTTTGAATCAAAAATCAAAGTATCATTTTTCATGGAACCATGGCTCTCTTGATAGCAGAAAAACATTTTAAATCCATATTTTACACCTTTTGGAATCATCTAAATTTGATGCAATCTCCGAACATATTTGAAAATCCTAAATGAGCCGCGAGCTAAAACTATTCCTTTGCATTTGTATTTGGCGTTCCTCATAAAAAATAAAAGTCCAGAAATGTTCATGTCCTAATCTAATTTCACAAAACCTATATTCTCTTTAGGCTTCAAGATGAAAAAAAAAAGAAAAATTAACTGAATGCAAACTTCCTAAAGCATATATGAGGAGTATTAATGGTGATTTTTTAAAATGTACTCTGTTAAATTGCTTTCCTAAACTTTACTTAAGCCATGGGATTTTGAGTTGATTCATTCTTTGAGATGGACTCTTTTTACTGACATTTTCTCCACCTTACTAAATCTAAGTCAAACACCTATAGTTTCTAGCCTGCAGCAACTTTTATCCCTGAGAGAGGTAAGCAGTTTTTACTCCTTATTCCAAAAAAACATATTTTTATAGATTGTAAATTATTAATGTCACACAGTGGAAAAGGCATGTTCATTTATATTAATGCCAGCATACTTTGATAAATGTAAACAGCAAAGCAAAAAGAAAATCCAGACATCAAGCCATGCAAAGGAACAATTGTTAGTAAATCATGCAAATGTGGATTCATATATTCCCGCCTTCTTGAGTAACAATGTGTGAAATCAGGGAGTATTTACATTTTATGTAAATGGTAAAAGTAAAAAGCTAAAACACAAGACAAACCTGTGGCAAGGCACAGGGAGCATTAGGGCACATCTTCTGAATCCTCAATACTCTGGTGAATCAAATTCTGTGCATCTCACCAAACCATGGATTTGGTTAACATTAATGGGGCTGTTTTTCTTTTGACAGTGTTGCGTGAGAATTTTTGTTCAATTCTGACTTATCTTTACAGATCGTGCTTATCTTTAACACCACCTTCTGAGATGCTGACTTCTTCATTATGCCCATACCCATAAAAATCAACAGACCAGGTGGGGAAAGCTATGAGTTGTGTGTGTTGTCACATGTTCACACATGTGTTCTTCCCTGCAGATCTTTCTTAGTTTAACAGCATCTTTGCCCCCAGCTTGAAACTTTGAAACCCTGTTAGTCCCATTAGCCCCCACCACCAGCAGCAGCAGCAGCAGACATGTTGGCACTCACGCTGGCAGTGACCCCAGGAGCGGCGTGTCCATCCCCAGCAGCAGTCCACCCTGGCCCCGTATCGACACAGGCCATTGGATGATGCCATCTGTCGAGGCCACCTGTAAGTGGAAAACAATCATCTCTCAACAAATCATGAACAGGAGCTGTCTAGCCATTATTCAACTCTCACAAAGATGTTTTCATAAAGGCTACACTATTTCCATGGAAAACTAGAAGAGTTGATCAAGATTGTTTGCATTAAATAGAGCTGAAATATGCAGTATTTTACTGAAGCTCTGAATTTAAAACCTTTGATTACAACATTTGAATTATTCTTGCAAAGCTGAAACTTAAGTGTATTGATGGTATTTAATTAACATTATCCTGTATTTATCTGCATGTGTATCAAAACAAGAAATTTTGACACCACATCCGGTGAAAAACAATGCAGAAATAAAAGTTATAATAAGAGCAAAAACGGGAGGAGGTTGCAGCTCAGTTTATTTCAGTTTAAAAGCCACATTTAAAGGCAACTTTTAAATCAAATCTAAGGAATCTGATTTGAATTTCTAAGAAAGTGTGAGTTTTAAAAATGTTGTTAGTTACCTTATCAAAGAAATCTTAAAAGCAAATGTTTTTAAGCATGCATTGAAATGTAAATAATGAAGGATTTCAGATTTTCTTTGCCCCCTGTAAGCAGATGCTCTAGCACACTGAATCCCGTGTGTCCTGAAAACTTGCCAGGTTCGTTTAAAATGTAGCTGCACCACCAAGACACACATTACTGTAGAGGTCTATATGATGAGTTATTTTGACTGCCGTAGAAAATTCAATATTTTTCTCTACTGCCCTTTTCATGACAGCTGCGGATATCTTTAATGTCACACAGAGGATGTGACGGAGTTAGTTTTGTATAAAAGTTGGTGATTTCCTATTTCTCCCAGAATTATAACTGTTGGACTTTTTTTGTATTATTATTATTTTGTTACCACAAGCTCTATCCAGCTCTTGGCCGATACAAGTGGATTAGCTTTTTATCTGCAAGAAGAAAGAGAGGAATGATTCCTTTTAAGGATACTGCAGGAAAACCAAGCCAGTATGAGATTTTACTAGAATCATGTATGATATAGAAGAATAAGTGATTCGTTTAGACCTTTATTACTACACACATTAGTATGTGTGTGCTTTGCAAAATGTAAAGGAAATAAAAAAAACATATATGTATATAATTGATTTAGTACAGTAAAACATTTCCTCATTCACAAAGCACAGAATATTCTATCTTTTACTGCTATGAGTAAAATTGGGCTTTGCTCAGTATTCAAGGCACATCCCTTGCTGCTATCCATGCCTGTTAGTATCTCCATGCCAAGATGAGGAAATGCTAATGCTTGCTTGTGCTGCCAATCACCACAGTATTAAAAAAAAAGCAGATGGATTCTAAGTGAGAGTGGCAGATATAGAAAAAAATGTTTGCCCACTGTCTGGCAAGCAGGAAAGCAGCTAGTCAAACACAGAGGAGAGGAGCGCAAGAAAAAACAAAAGAAGGGAATTAAGGGGATGGAAAGAAAAAGAAAAGAAATATTCAACTGCATGGAGATGAAAAAATGAGATGAGAGAAAAGAAGAAGAAGAAGACAAAAGGCCTCTAACAAAGTCAGAACTGTGAAGACAAGACCGCCCAGTGCTGATTTAATCATGTAAATACTATATTCATACTTTATCCATATTATCAAGAGGAAAAAAAGACAGGTCAAACACTGCAAAAAAAGGTTTTTGTTCAGGTGTTACAACCCCTGGCAAAAAGTATGGAATCACCAGTCTTGGATGAGCACTCATTCAGACATTTCATGCTGTAAAACAAACTCAGATCAAAAACATGATACAATATTAAGGTCGTTCCAAAGTGCAACTTGTTGGCCTTCAGGAACACTCAAAGAAATGAAGAGAAAACATTGTGGAAGTCAGTGAATGATACTTTTATTGACAAAACACAGGGAAATAAATATGGAATCACTCAATTCTGAGGAAAAAAGTATGGAATCATGAAAAACTCATAAACAAAAGACCATTCAAAATACATCACTAGTATTTAGTTGCACCACCTTTGGCTTTTATAACAGCTTTCAGTCTTTGAGGCATGGACTTGATGAGTGACAAACAGTATTCTTCATCAATTTGGTGCCAACTCTCTTTGATAGCAGTTGCCAGATCAGCTTTGCTGGTTGGACCCTTCTTGTGGACCATTTTTTTCAATCTCCACCACAGGTTTTCAATTGGGTTGAGATCTGGACTATTTGCAGGCCATGACATCGACTGAATGTGTCTTTCTTCAAGGAATGCCTTCACTGTTTTTGCCCGATGGCACGATGCATTGTCATCTTGGAAAATTATTTCATCATCACCAAACATCTGTTCAATTGAAGGGATGAGAAAACTGTCCAAAATGTCAATGTAAACTTGTGCATTGATAGAAGAATTAACCACAGTCGTCTCCCCAGTGCCTTTGCCTGACATGCAGCCCCATATCATCAAGGACTGTGGAAATTTGGTTGTTTTCTTCAGGCAGGCCTCTTCATAAATCTCACTGGAACGGCACCAAACAAAAGTTCCAGCATCATCACCTTGTCCAATGCAGATTCTTGACTCATCACTGAAGACAACTTTCATCCAGTCATCCACAGTCCATGATTGCCTCTCCTTAGCCCATTGGAGTCTCGTTCTTTTATGTTTAGGTGTCAATGCTGGTTTTCGTTTAGCTTTCCTGTATTGAAATCCCATCTCCTTTAGGCGATTTCTTACGGTTCGGTCACATACATTGACTCCAACTTCCTCCCATTTATGCTTCATCTGTTTAGTTGTACTTTTTCGGTTTTCAAGACAAATGGCCTTAAGTTGTTTGTCTTGACGCTTTGATGTCTTTCTTGGTCTACCAGTACGCTTGGCTTTAACAACCATTCCATGCTGTTTGTATTTGGTCCATATCTTGGATACAGCTGACTGTGAACAGCCCACATCTTTAGCAACCATGCGTGAAGGGTTACCTTCTTCAAGAAGTTTCACAATCCTCTCTTTTGTTTCAAGGGACATTTCTCTTGTTGGAGCCATGGTTCTCACCACTCCACTTGGTCCAGCAGCCCTCCAAGGTGTCATGACTGCAGGTGTTTTGAACTGCACACTAACGGGCACATCTAATCTGGGGCAGGTGTCCATTTAGGGAAAGGAAATAGACTGGGTGTGTCCTTTTTTTTCTACCTCCAATTTGAGTGATTCCACACTTTTTTCCTCAGAATTGAGTGATTCCATATTTATTTCCCTGTGTTTGGTCAATAAAAGTATCATTCACTGACTTCCACAATATTTTCTCTTCATTTCTTTGAGTGTTCCTGAAAGCCAACGAGTTGCACTTTGGAACGACCTTAATATTGTATCATGTTTTTGATCTGAGTTTGTTTTACAGCATGAAATGTCTGAATGAGTGCTCATCCAAGACTGGTGATTCCATACTTTTTGCCAGGGGTTGTATAACTGAAGGTTAATAGTCATCGAATGTTTAAAAAATCTCATATATGCAACCAATCAAAACGGTAATTAAAATGATCTGGCAGATTGAGAGAAGATATATTTTAATACTTTGAAGCCATTCCTGGATAACCTTTATTATCTCATTTGCACTTTTAGTGATCCTCTAATCTTAAGACTTTGGGCCGGATCTATCAAAGGTTTTCGTGTATAAAAACGTGAGCTATTTCACTGCGCACGCTAAAAAATGTACAAACTGATCTATCAACAGCGTGCTAAAAGGATTTGGTCTTTAAAACGTGCTAAATAGCGCCTCTTATCCATTTAGTACTTTTTCTGCAGTGAATATGCAATATGGGGCGTTTACACGCAAAAGTGCGTCTTGTGGGAGGAGAACATGTAAATATATTAATTTAGCACTCGCAAAGTGATTTATCAAAGCTGAGAGCAATTTTGCTAACGGTATCTGACTCTATATTTAACACGTTTCAAAAGAAGGTGCAAATGGTCTGTATGCGTAATTGCGCACACATGGCAGCGGTTATTGTTGCAAGAAGGAGACATGGAAATGAAGCAAGGAGACGCAGAGAACGCATTTTTTCACTCCGTGTGAATATTTTTGGAATGAACGAGGAAACGATCATCAAAACATTCCGTTTATCCAGCATTGCCATTTTGGAGCTGTTGGGGGAACTCCGAATGGATTTGGAGCCAGCCACAAGGAGGACCCACGCAATACCAGATATCACAAAACTCCTTGCAACATTGCACTTTTTGCATCTGGGATCTCCCAATCTCGTTTTTCAGAAGTGCTGTCCGACGTTCTAAATCCCATGTCGCCCTGACGCCCTACCGGAGAACCCCGACACCCTGCGCCTGTGGAGCAACATGCCAATGCTGCGGGGATGCGTCCGCGCAGTCATCTCATCCACAGTCCCATTGTGAGCCATTTGGTATGTGCATTTTTCTACAGGCCAATACAAAATACCTGTTTTTTTTTTGTTTTTTTTTTTGTTTTTTTATTACTGCATTGAAGTAGACATTCAGCCACATAGGCTACCACCTTAGGGAATAAAAGTTGCCAAAGTTTATATATATATATATATATATATATATATATATATATATATATATATATATATATATATATATATATATATATATATATATATATAAAATTTTTTTTTTTTTTTTTTTTGGAGGGGTTGGGGTGTCACTGTAAGATTAAAATTTCTTAATGCACTAGTTTGCACAAACTACAAACTACTTTTCCGCAAACCAAAAAACGCGCAAAACCACCATTTAAATAGGGCGTCTCCAACAATTTTGCATCTGCCACCAGTTATGCAATCGCTCTTGTTAAATCACCCGCAAGCCATGGTTCAGCCCCTCGCGCAAAATTCCAGTTTGCGAGCGCAAATTACTGCACGCAAAATTGGATCTTGATAAATCCGGCCCTTTGAGTAGAAAGCCTCCCTTATCACTGACACAATTTTTACCATCTATCTTCCATATTGCAGCTGTTGTATTTTTCTTACTTGTGGAAACTAAAACAAATACTTCTAGGAGAGATAGAAAAAAATATGTAAACCATGTTT